TGAGGTGCACTTCAGTAGAGGGAGCCATCTAGACTTTTAATAAAAGTGATATTGGCTTGGAGCTCTGCCTTAGTTTCTTTTATTGTAGACTGGATAATTTTGGACACCCCTAACACAAAACACATATACCCACCCTAGGGTACACTGCATACTTACCCATGCCACAGTTTCCCCCCTGCCAACCCATATCCAATCCAATTCAGTTAAATTCAACTCAACAATTATTAAAAGCCTACTCTGTTCAAAGCACTATCAAAGTCAAAACCGTACAGGGCACACTCCCACTTAATCAAGGAAATAGAGGCCATCCATTCCTACATTTACTTCTTTGTTTTAAACTAATTGTATTCTCTGGATGACTGAAAAAAAGTAAGCACATTGGTAGGAACATGGGAACTTGTGAACTATAGTTTAGGGTTGATTGTAAGATTTAGAGATGCAGGGTCTTAAAGATCATCTAGTCCAACTCCATCATTTTATAAGTGAGGAAACTGAGGCCCAGAGAGGTTGTGACTTGCCCAAGGTCACACAGGTAGTAAATGGTCTACCCAGGATTTGAATCTTATCCTGAAAATCTAGCATGCTTTTAACTACATGATGGAGTACATCCTCACAGTACCTTGAACTTAGAATAGTTATTCTAGGTACTTCTTCCCCAAGGTGAATCTCTAGGTGCTACAGTGAAAAATTATCTGGTCCAATTATATGTAATTATAATTGTGTAGCTATATCTATTTCTCCAGCAGAATTTAAGTTCCTTGAGGGTAGTGCCTTCCTTATAATAGGTTTATTTATTTATTTATTTTGAGCCTGGGTCTTCCTATCTTGCCCAGGGTGAAAACGCGACAGCCTCTCATAGGCCCAATCCCACTGCCAACTGGCACCGGAGCTTTGCCCTGCTGTTTCCAACCCCTCCTTAGACAGCTTCTATACCTTTGGAGGTTCAAAGCATTGGCGCTGTACTAAGTGGGGACATCCCATTGGCCTAGATCACTGCAGCTCATGACTCTTGAGGTCCAGTTACCTACCAGCCTCTGCCTCCCCAGTAGAGGAATTCCAGGTGTGTGCCTCTGGATTCTTGCTGCATTTTAATAGATTCCATATGCCTTGTTTCTGCACCTCAAGATCACTCAGCTTCCAGAGGCCATTGAAGGGGGAGGGGTGGGACCTAATCTTTTCATTTTTGTATCTCTTACCTCAGGACAGAACTCTGTGTATTCATGAACTAACAGTCCAAACTCATAAAACCACTACTGTTTATGTGACAAACTCTAAGCCAGATCATACGTCACATGCCATCCAACTGACCACAGCATCTTCACGCCAACTGTTTTCCCTGCCCAGCTTTCCACTTCTTCCTAGAAACTCTAATCAAATTGGTATCATTGCTACATTTGGAAAGGACATGTCAATGCATTCTACTCACCTCCTTGTGATTTCCCAGGCCAATAACATACCCTTCCCTGCCCAGCATTCCAGGACAGATATTGCCTACCTCTATCAGAATGTAAGCTCCTTATGGAAAGACTCACTTGCTTTTGTATTTGTATGCCCAGGGTTTAGCTCAGTGCTTTATACAAAGTAATGGTTTAATTAAGACTTTTCACTCATTCATTTATTCATTCATCCATTTATCCATTCATTCATCAGGCAACATTCAGGAGTCTTGGATTGGCTCTACCCTGTGATGCTGACATTGGGGTGGGGGGAGAACAAACGTCTTGTCTTTGGCAGCTGCTGGCCATTCATTGTCAAAAGAACAGACAGCTGGTGTGTATGAAGTTCCATTCTGTCTTACCTTCTGATGGGAATGGATGAGAGTCAAGAATCTTTAGTAGGGTGGACTAACTCCTCCCCTGCAACCTCACCAGTAGTGGGGACCAGCATCTGTGGAAGAATTATTCTCTTCACTAGGACCCCCCTGTGTCAGACTGACCGCTATGCCTCCAAGCACCTTTCCCCTACTTCACCCTTGGTCATATTGCCTCCTGGGATACTGTGGTGTGTGTGTGTGTGTGGGTGTGGGGTGTGTGTGGGTGGGTGTATCTGTCTGTCTGTCTCTGTCTCTCTCTGTCATGGCACAGAAATATTCACAAAGGATATTGTCTGGTCACCAAGTGGCAAGTGGTGACAGCAGTGTCCTGCAAGGTACCATCCATCTTAGATATAAAAATTGAGAAATTTGTGCTCCCTGTTGTTTTCTCAACTACATATGAGTTGGACAATGGGTTAACAGGTCAGCAAAATGGTTTGAACCAGGGGACAGCTAGGTGGCACAGTAGATAGAGCTCTGGCCTTGGAATCAGGAGGACCTGAGTTCAAATCTAACCTCAGACACTTGACCCCTGGACAAGTCAGTTAACCCCAACTGTCTCACCAAAAAGAAGAAGAAGAAGAGGAATGAAAAAAATGGTTTGAACCAAGCCATCAGGTCTTGAGCATTCTTTTCATGTTCTTTCACAGATGGGCTGGTGCTACTCTGGTGGGTTTTGGACCCACTGCTCACTTTGGGATAAATAGAAGGCTGGGCTCTCTCTCTAGCATTATAGAGCTGACTTTAAGTCATGCATATTTTTGTCTAGAATCTTTGAACGGAGGAAACTTGATGGTGAAGGTGGCTTGGGCTCTGTCTTTCCAGGTGCAGATGTGGCCAGGGGTCTGGGTTCTCCTTATTCCCAAAGATAGCTGTCCACCCTTGATTGAAGGCCCTCTCATATAAGGAAGGTGCTTTGAGAATTTCATTTAATGGTCAGTTGCATGTTATCCTTGTGGGTCACTCCTGACTCTGAGACGCCTTTCTCTACCAGTCTTTGGTCCAACAGTTCATCAATGGCTCTCATTCCCCTGCTAAGGCAGAAAAAAAAGCATTCTTTCCATCCTCAGTTAAGTATGTAGATTTCTTGTTAGGGTTTTCCTTATCTAATGATATCAGTGGGTCTGGTTGCTTTGGCTCCTTTTCTGTGCTTTCCTTCTGGGCACTCTCCTTTTTGGCATTTTCAATTAGTTTGCTTACAGGATCTTGTGAGGTTTTCAACATAGTGAACTTTGTGAACTCTAATGGATGACTGTCATGATATGTGAGGTTTTCTCAAAAAATGAAGCAAGATGGTCTGATACTTTATTAGCATATGAGATAGGAATTACATTTGCTTGTTGGAGGAAGATCCACTTTTTGACCCACATCATTCTTAAGTTTGTCAAAGTTGGGTTTTGTATGGGACACTTGGACTTGGACCTTCTGAAACCATGCCATTTGCTTGAAAAGGTCTAGGTCAAGCTCTTGAGACATGTCTTTCATCCCCAGCAAAGCACTCCATATTCTGTCCGCTACTGTTCCATGCACTTTATGGTTAACCAGGTTTCGGGGGTGGACCTGTACCAAAATGTCTCCACTTCCTGGTAGAGTTGACACAAAGGACTGTGCAAGAACAGACTGCTGAGAAGAACAGAGGTTCTGTGGCTTGTATCATTTTTCTTGCTTAAGTTTTGTCCTGAGACCTCTGGGAGTGAAAAAGCCTCACCAGTTTGTTTTCTTCTTGTGGCAAAGAAGCAAATCCTCTTCTGATGTTGTTCAATCACTTTGAGAAACTATACATAGGTCCTCCAGTTGGAGTGGAACAGCTCAAACTTGGCATCCAGAGGCACATTCCAGGCTATAACATGTTCATCTTCATTTTTTCCCTATTGCTTTGAGAAGGGCTAGCTTTGTTTTCCAGCGTTTCTCTTGCATCTTATTCACAACTGACTTGTCTTGACTTGGGGCACGTTCGACATACATTTTTTGGAGTAGCATTTAAATTCTTCCATATTCGTTTCTTTTTTTTTTCAGCTGTTGATGATTGAGGGGAAGGGGCAGGAAAACAGCAGGAAAGGATACATGATATCACCTATGCCTCCACCCGAGTCTAGTGCTCCAAGCCACCTGCTTAGTCTCCATCCCTCTGTCTGTCCTGCTGGTGTCGGAGCAGTCTGTAGCAGCAGCTGCAGCAGCCTCAGATCCCACATAAGTGGGAGGAGAAGGGGGAAGAGGAGGAGCCCTGGGCTACTCTTTTGATGAGTACTCCCTGCCTCCTTGCACAAACCTCATATACTCTACTGAATCAGGGCCAGTGGAGTCAACAAGCATTTAATAAGCACCTACTATGCGTCAGACACTGTGCCAAGCACTGGGGTTACACAGAAAGGCAAAAATAGTCCCTGCCTTCAAGGAGCTCACAGTCTAATGGGGGAAACCACATGCAAACAACTGCGAACGAGTAACATATGTATACGATGAATTGGAGAGAATTTCAGGGGGAAAGCACTAATGTCAAGGGGAATTTGGAAAGGCTTCATGCAGAAAGTGACATTTTGCTGAAACTGAGGAAGCCAAGAAAATCAGGAAGTGGAGATGAGGAGGGAAAGGCTCTAGGAACTGTGCTATAGAATACTCAAATGGATCTGGGATCTCATCAAGAAGGATGTTTCCTCTGATGATGCAGATTGCAACCTGTTCTGTGCAGCTCTTTGTCTATGTGCTCCCATAAATTTGCCACTGGGACCCACTCAGGGTACTGGGGGCTTTCCGTGACTTCCCTATGTGTCTCAAAGAATGCCATTATACCATATGTGCTGTCAATGATCCCTTATCTTGTCACATGACTGGTCTATCTTTTTCAATCCTTCACTTCTTTTATGACACTGATTTATGTGTTGCCTCTCCATCGTAAGAATTATGTTTAAGTCTTCAAAGGTGGTAGTGCTCAACATTCAAATCCAGCAGGGTGTTGGTACTCAAAAGATGTATCTTTGTTACTGGGAGAAGTCTGGCATCTAGGACACAAAGATATAAACCGACAGTCTCTGCCCTTTGGGATGTCACCCTTCTGGAAGCTGCCTTGCCTACATCAGCCCTTAATGAAATTTCCCTCTCTGAATTTCTGCCTCACAATGTGGTACTCACCACGTATTTTCAACTGTGGTTCTATGTATCTTATCTCCCAAAGGACAACTACCACAACTTAGACTTCTCATTACACTTTAATGTTTATAAACACATTTTGCCACAATAACCTTTTGAGGTAGGCGCATAGAATCAGAGATCTAGAGCTGGAGGAGACCTTTAAGACCACCCTGTTCAACCTCTTTCTTCCATAGATGAGGACGCTGAGGCCCACAGAGGTCGAAAAACTCTTGGTCTCTGACTCCAGCCTCAGTGCTTTTGTCATTTTAGCAAGTTAGTTCAAGTAGTATAATCTTTATTTTGCAGATGTGGAAGTCCAAGTTCAGAGAAGGTATGATTCATATCCAAGGTTACAAAATAAATGAAAGAGGTAGGATTTGAACCCAGGACCCCTCCTTTCAGATCCACATACCTGGAGGGTTTTCAGTGTATCCTCACACCCCACATTGCTCTGCCCACTCCTATACAGAGAAAGGCAAAAACAATGCCAATCCTCGAGAAGCTTACAGCCTCCTGAGGAGACAACAAGCAAAAATTATGTGCAAACAAGGTATTCAACCATTCCTCAGTAGTTGAATGAAGGGGGAAGGGAAGCCTTGAAGACTCTGGGAAGAAACCTAGACTCAAAACTTTATACCACTGAATAACAGAATTTCAGAGGTAGAAGGTATAAGCCAATCCTCTTATGACAGATGGACTTCATGAGCAGTACGTCGGAAGAAATGACTTGCCCGAAGTCAGACGTATAAGTCCATGAGACAGCTGGGACTAGAACTCAGGTCTCCTGACTCAGTGGCCAGTGCACCAGCTGCTTGGATCAGTGCTGTCCCACCTTCCCCCCAGCCCAACCTAAAGGTCTAGTGGGGAGGCTGGCTGAGACCTCCAAAGGATGGAGTGTTTCTCCAGTTCAGTCATTCTGGGAATGAAGTATATAAATGCTTAATTAAAAAACAAATAAATAAAACACAGCCCAGATCAGACTGATGCCAGCAGGAAGCTGGTTATGTCTCTGTCCCTGCATTATACCATATTTTATATTCCATGTTACACAATAGATTAAACTCCATTACACTATGTAGCACTTCTTCCATTGCAAACACACATAGAGAGGAGCATAAATGTATCCGAGGTTCAACCTCATTATTTTACAGAAAAGGAAACATGAGGTCCAGGGGAATTCAGTGACTTGCATAAAGTCATAGAGAGAGTAAGCATCAGAGGCTAGATTTGAACCCAGACCCTCTGACTCTAGAGCCAATGCTCACTTTCCATGGTATCGCTTTAGATTCCCAGGACTGTAAAATGTTGGAGTTGGAAGGGACCTTTACAGATCATCCAGTTCCACTTCTTTTACAGATGAGCAAATCGATTTCACACTGACAGGCAATGTGCTTACCCTGCCCTGTCCAGTCCAAAGTAGATAACTTCCTTGAGGGATGTTGCAGGAGAGGAGGGACCTGCCTGGCAGGTTGCACCCCACTGACCCCACAGCAGGGACATTCCAGGACAAGGAGAATCCTCTCCTTGAATCTGCATCTAGTTGGCCCCCTACTCTGCAAAGGGGGCATACATCCACCTTCAGTGGATCTGGTGAGCCTAAGGGAGGAGTCCTGGAGTTCCACTGGGGTCGGTTAGGAGAAATTCAGTCTGGGATCCTGGCCCTGAAGCAACCGGGCTGTGTCTCTGGGGACTGGATTCTTCCACAGGCTGCAGAGGAGATGGATGGGGGAGGAATCAGAGGCCACTGAGTTCTGTACTGGCATCCCCCAGAGATCAGAGGGCCATAGGATCATAGACTCAGGCCTAGGAAGGAACTCAGGGGCCATTTAATCCAACCCCCTCATTTTGTGGCCTTGACAGATTAGAAGGGACTTGGCCACACAGCTGGTAAGTGGCAGAACTAGACCCCAGGGCCTATAATTCCAAACCTGGGGTACTTTAAACCATACCTGGTTTTTCCTAGATGCTGGAAATGGGGGTTACAATGCTCTTCCAGTGCAGCCTCCCAGCTTATCCCTTCTGCCTCATTTTTTCCTTCTCTAGGACCACATAATTTTTCTGTGACGCCTAGCTTTTCCTTCTTACTTAGCTGAGTCCTTGTCTTTTCCCATAGGAACTCCCTTCTGTTTGTAAGAGTTGGGTAGGCAGTTTAGAGCCATCTCCAAACTCAATAGTCCCGCCTCACACCCTGCCCTGGGAAGAAGGGAGAGGAGGCAACCAGGGAGCTCAAACCCATGTTTACCATATGACTTGAATTCAGGACGCTTGGCTAACCCCTTTGCCAGCAGCTGTGCTCCCAGAGAACCGATCTGATTGCCTTCCAAACTTTCCAGAGGATCAGAGAAGAAAAAAATAAGGATGATGGGGTGAGGGAAGAGGTAGGGCAGGAGAATATGGTTATCGTTCCCTCCCTCCATCCCAGACCTGGGTCCAGCTTGGAAGGAGAAGGCTCTTCTCCTTCGTGGGCGCCTCCTCTAGAAAGGAGACCCTCATAGAAGCAGGGGACTCTAGCAGGAGTGCCAGGGCAGAGAGGCCATAGGAGAGTGACTCAGGGAGGGTGCTGGCACCTTGTGCCTGGGAGATAATCTGAGTTTAGAGTCAAGGAAATGAACCCGAAGACCCTTCATTCCAGCCTATCCCAGGGCCCCTTCTCTTTCATTAATTCTTCCCTGCCCCTCTCTGGAGAATTGGACCCTGCTTCCTTTTTCTCAGTGCCTTACAGAGTCCCCATACTCACTCCAATTTCTTCAACTGGTTCATCTGAGGCAGAACATGGGCTAGTTCAGTGGCCCCTTCGTTCCCAAGGGAATTCCAGGCCAACCTGTGGAGAGCCTCAAATATCAGGAGGAAGGGGGAGAGGAGGGGAGCAAGTGTTGATGGGGGAAGGGAATGTCCTAGGATGGCAGGAGAATGGATTTGGATTGGGGGAAGGGTAGTGTTCCAGATCCAGGAATCTGAGGTTTGGGGGATCCCTGTCTTCCTGTTCTTACACTAACAACATAATAATCACTCCTATGGTATAGGAGTTTGTAAAGCCCCTTTGCATCAATGCCCTCAATATATTCTTACAACATCTGCACTAGGGAAGTAGGGTGGGGTTTATTAGCCCAGGTGAGGGGTTTATTAGTACAGGTGAGAAAACTAAGGCTCAGAAACAAAGTGATCTGACCAAGATGCCATCAGGGACAAGATTCTCCTGCTTTCCAGCTCTGGGCTTTTTGTACTCACAGGATCTCCTCAAGGTCATGGCAGAGAACCAAGCTACTGGCAAGAGGTTTGGTCATCCGGTCGTTAATCTTGCAGGACGTGAGGCTGAGAGAGAATAGGGGAATTTGGCCGGGGGAACCTTGAACAAGGAGACTCCACCAAGCTCCCCTAGGTGCTGCCTACCCAACCTAGCCGTTGGGAGTCAGAGTTGGTATGGACTAGGGTAAGGAAGGCTGTAATTAGGTACGGTCCAAGGCAGGTCCCTGAGGGCCTGTGAGCTAGGCAGTGCATGGGAGTCATAGTCCTTAGGCCTTGACCAAAATGAGAGAAGACGAGGCCCTGGACTTACACCCCATGCAAGGCAGGTCTAGGAGAAACACAGCCTTTCTATCTAGGAGAACAAAGCAGGGGGACTTACTTAATCTTTCTGAGCTTCAGGAGTCCCTTTGAGAGAGGCAGAATCTCTTCAGCAAAGATGTTCTCTGCCAAGCTGCCAGGCAGACAAGAAGAGTCAATGAGAGGCTTCCCCGGCTGTTCCTCAGCCCTTATCCTCTCTCTCCCTCCTTCCCTTACCTCTCCATCCCCTCCTCTTTTACCTGACCTCTTCTATCCACTGGCATCTGGCAAGGGCCTGTCCCAGGCTCAGCGTTCCCTTGGTGCCAATCTGGTTGGAACAAAGGCTGCATACATAGAGGAAACAAAGTGTAAGAGCCACACCCGGGGCAGCTGTGGGTATAGGGAAGTCCAAGTGGATGGAGGAAAGCTCATGGGCTTTTCCACTTCCAGCTGTCCATCAGCCTGGACATTCACCTACAGATGTTATCTCCCAGACAAGATGAACCCCTTGTGGAATTTCTACAGACAGACTTTGCTGTGCCTCTCAGGTCCCTCTCCTCCCGCTCAGCCCCACTCTTGAGCCCCAGGATCCCTCACTGCTGTGCCCCACTCAGGCCAGAGGGTAGAGGTGCCCATAATTAACTAAAATCATCTACCTCACACTTTCACTGAAACCTAGCCCTGCTGACCAGTGTCCCTTGGCCAGCAGCACTCCCTGAATCCTCCTCGCCCCACACACTACCCTCTGCACCACCTTCCCTGTAGTCAGAGGATTTCACTCCCTTCCCCACCACCCCCAAATGTCATACCACCATTCCCCCCGCTTTTCCCCCCAGCACAGATACTCACTACAAGACTTTCAGATGATGCGGCAAGTTCTGGGCAAGCCTTATGGCCATCAGGTCCCCCATTGTATTGGCCCCTAAGCTGAGAGGGAAGAAATAACCCTAGGTTACACAGACACTCTGGTCCCTCCATTCTAGCCCCATTGTAAAGAACCTGGATCACAAAAATCAAGAGGGATGGGAGAAGGGGCAGATGAGCCTGGGATGTGGGTAAAGGAAATAATCTTCCCATTCCCTGTTTTCCAGGGACCAAAACTCACTGTAACTCCTCCACCTGGACACAGAACGCCAGTGCCTCAGCTAGCTTCCTGCCTCCTGCTGGGCTGATGCCATTCCACGAGAGGCTAAAATGTCCCCACCCCACCCCCAAGAAAGAAGCTATGTCACATATATGAAGTTATATTGTGTAATTTGGAGAAGAGAGGACTCAGGAAACAGAAGTCATTTCCTGTTCTACTCTCCCCCATTATTCCATCTCTCCCCAATGCATAGAGGGATACCCTCCCCTTTGCTTTTCTTCCACATACAAGGAAGTTGGACCATAAGGAAGAAGGTTACTTTCTCCTCCAACCCCAGGAACCCTCCTCCAGGTTATTCTAGACACACACCCCCAGGACCCTTAGAGATGTCCATTTTAGCCATCTCCTCTCCACCAGTGACCACCCTACCCCCTATCCCCCCAAATTCTCCCAGGCTCCTTAGCCAGATTTCAGTCTTAAATTCCTGCACCTAAACCAGAGGTGTTATCCCTCATCTATACTCCATGCCCCGTGCCCTGGTTCAGATCTCAGCAGGGCTCTCCTGCCAAGAGTCAGTCTGCCTGAGTTCTGGGGAAGAGCCAGAATAATAAAGGAGAAAGAACACTAGATTGGGAGTCAGAGGACCTGAGTTCAAATCCCAGTTCTACCACTTACTACCTATGTGACTTTGGGTAAATCACTAGGCCTGTTTACTCATTTGTAAAATGAAGAAGGGGGTGGGCTATGATGGCCTGTAAGGTCCCTTCCAACTCTAAAGCTATGATCTTATGAATCCAGAGAAGTCACCAGCTTCTGACTATCTGGAACTGCCTGGTCCTTGCTCTCCAATTCCTCTCTAATAAGCCCTTCGATTTCTGGTCTTGGACACCGCATACGAATCCCAGTCTGCCACCAAAAGTAGATCTCATGGATGTGAAGGGGAGGCAGAGGTTTTTGGAGTCAGGCTGAGACTCCAAGGCCTTGGAACTGCTCTATGAGATTGGATCCCTCTGCTATCCTCTCTTCCCACATCAGCCTGGGGAGATGTTCATCTCCTCATGAGCTATAGCACAGTCCTGATTTGGGGGGCTGTGGTTCAAAGGAGAAATGTTAATATTGCCCTGTGGGTCTCCAAGTTACTCACTCAATCTTTCTGAGCTGCAGCAACGTGGGCAGGATGGCTGATAAATGCTGCACCCCAGCATCTTCGATCTTGTTGTGGCTCAAGCTTAGAGACAAAACACAGTATTACTCAGGCAAGGATATTCCATGGAGTGTTAGATCTACGATGCTAATAATTCTATCCAGCAGATGTGTACTGTTGGTCAATAGGGGACCAGGGCAGGGCAGTGAGGATGATTCAGTGCAAGCCACTGCTGAAAGTATATCCTGAGTAATAAATAGCAACAGCTGATATTTATAGAAAGTGCTTTATGGGTTCCACACAGGAACGCAGGTACTAGACCTGCGGTGTTATATTAGTATAGGGCATTTCCAGGAAGAAAGGAAGGAAGGAAGGAAGGAGGGAAGGAAGGAAGGAAAGAAGGAAGAAGGGAAGGAAGGAAGACAGGAAGGAAGGGAAGGAAGAAAGGAAAGAAGGAGCATTTATTAAGTGCCTATTACCAGGCACAGTGGTAAATGTTTCATGATTATTATCTCATTTTATCTCAGATAAAAAAAACCCCTCTACTACAACAGATTGGCACCTTTTCTGCAACTTAAAGAGTTGCAAAGAGCACTGAGAGGTGACTTATCCAGGGTCTTCTGCCAAGATGTGCCAGGGGTGGGATTGGAACCCGGCTGTGGTAGCTACAGGTATTATCTCCATTTTACAGCTGAGGAAACTAAGACTTAGCAAGTGCAGGAGGTGAGACTTGAACCCATGTCCACCCTGACCCCCAAGTCCAAAACTCTTCCTTTCCTCTACATTATATGCCTGTACTACTCATGGGGCATGATAGCAACATGTTTGCATGGGGACCAGTCAATCAACAAGTATTTATTAAGCATCTGCAATATATTAGGCATTGTGGAATATGTAAGGAATTTATATTCTGCATAGATCTATATTGTGTACCATACATATATGTATGTGTATATGTGTGTATATACATGTAGAATGCAGGTTCTTTGCATATATGTACACATACATATAATAAATATAAAGTGACTGCAAATATATATACACATATTCATACACATGCATGTACATACACACATGTATACATACATATGTACATACATACAACAGTTAAAAACAAGGTAGTTTAGGAAGAAAGGCACTAGCAATTGGGAGGACTGGGAAAGGCTTCATGTAGAAGGTGAGGCTTGTCCTATAGGAAAAGAGGAACTCTCTGAGTTGGAGGTAAGGAGGCGGTTCATTTGAGGTGTGTAGACAGCCAATGCAGGAACACAGAGATGGGAGATAGATGCTATGTGTGAGGATAGACAGAAGACAATTTGTCTGGATTGAGGAGTGCTGGAGGGAGAATAGTGTCTACTGAAGCTGGAGAGATTGTTTGGGGACAGATTATGAAGGCTTTAAAAGTTAAAAAGTTTTAAAAGTTGAAAAGAGTTTCTATTTGACCCTAGAGTCAACAGGTAACCATGAGAGTTGGCTGAATAACAGAATCCCATGGTTAGATCTGCATTTAAAGAAAATGACTTTTGTAGCCATACGTAGGATGGACCAAAGGGGCGAGAGATGAGGCAGGGAGACCACTTGGCAGGCTGTTGTGATCACCTAGGGGGCAACAGTTGTACCAGGGGGAGAACGTCATTATTGTCATCTTTGGGTTTTATCGGTGGTGATTCTTCAGTCACAGACACCCCACAAGTTCCCATATTCCCCTAATGTGGAAACTAAGTTCCTCTTTTGCCCTTTGGGCCCCATTCCCTTATGCCTTCTCTTTAGGAGATCAAACTTTCCATACATTTTATAAAGATTCCTGTGGTGCCCAGTACTCCTCGGATCCCAACTGTACAAATGAAAGGATGTGGGAAGTGATGAGAGGGGGCAGAAATCACAGAAATGACTGGCCTCTGTCCCACACCTGGCACTTCTGAGTCTGAGAGAGGCTAGAGAAAGGGGCAGATAGACTTACTTCAGATCTTCTAAGTTGGTAGCATCCCTGAGGCAATCTGACAGGTAGCAGCAACCGATGCTGCTGAGGCCACTGTTGCTCAGGCTGTGGAGAGATGTGGGAAAACATCCCCAGTGGCCATTAGCCTTGGGCTTAAACTTGGGTGGTGAAGTCCAGATGAGAAGAGTGGGGGTGGGGCAGAAGTTTGAGAGTATAGCAAACTTCCTGACAAGGGCGGATGGGGTGGGCATTTATAAGTTTTCATGATGTCAAGCCAGTGCATGGAGCTTTGGGCGCCAAGGGATAGATGACACTGGGGAATGGAAGAAGTCCTTGAAGGTCATATCACTAAAGGTGGGATGGAGATAGAACCTGACAACCTCTGTTCTCATGTCCCAGGAAATGCAGAGACAACCCTGTGGCTTACTAGATCACTTCCCAAATGCCTGCTGAAATAACCTGACTCTATACTGTGATTCTTCCCATTGCATAAATTCCTGGAGACCATAGCCAGAAGTGGGGGTTAAATTAAGGGCATCTGGGGATTTAGAGCTTGAAGGAACCTTGGGATCTAGTAAAACTCCCTCATTTTACAATGAGGAAACTGAGGCATCGAGAAGTGAAGTGACTTGTTTAAGGTCTCACAGGTGCTAAGTAGCAGATCTAGAAGTCAAATCTGGATCCTCTGACTTCAGATCTATCTCTCCTTCAGCTATACATGGCTACCTCTGGTCACTAAAGACTATGGAGTTAATGGTGTGGAGGTGGCCCCACTGAAATTCCTGGGGTCTAATAAACACAGGAAGAACTCACTCAAGTGTGTGCAGGAGGGACATTCCCCGAAGTCTCTGGGCTAGTGTACTCAATGCCAGGTCATCCAGCTGCAGGGAGCTGAGGCTATAGGAAGAGGAACCCAAGACAACTCAGATTGAGCTCCTTAAGGAAATGTACGGAGATGACAGTTTAAATGCTGTTTAACCAAGGTCTGTTCTGGAAAGAATTTTGTCTTTTTAGAAAAGTGTTTTAGCTGAGAGTCTTGCAATTCCAAACTCTAGAACAGAGGCAAATTGTAAGAGCTGTTCTTGCTAAGGGAACACTTGTATTGAAATCTCAGGGCACAGCACACCTAGGAAAGGACAGGACCAAGGGGTCAGTCCAGCTAGGAATATTATGTAACAGCACAACTGGTGTTTAAGTGAGACCGCAGGCAGCGTTCTCACCCTCCCCCACCCTCCCCTACCTTTACTCCCACCCCCTTAGACCGGCCACTCTACTTACTTCAGACTCCTAAGCTGGCACTTCCCTTCCAGAGCTCCCATGAGCACCCTGGTGCTTTCCACACTGAACTCATTCTTGGATAGACTGGAAAGAGCCAAGAACAGAGCAGGGGTGGTCATATTCTTGTCCCTCCCCCCCTACTCTGGGTCCCCTGAGGACATCTCTGGGTTCTCCCCTGGCTAAGATCTCCAGCTCTGGAACCAGAACCCTTGGCCCCCTCCTAGGACCAGTCCACCTCTCTGGGCCCCAGATGAAGGGGATGCTGTTGATTGCTATGACAGAGGGTCCATAGACAGCTCCACTAGTATCTGAAGATAAGAAGGACACTATGGCTGAGCAAACAAGGGGGCTACAGGCCTGGTACCTTTTGTACTCTGGAATCTCCTATAGTAGAATATAGTGAGAAGGCAGGCTTAGATCCCAGAAGACCTGGGAGAGGGGCAAGGAAGGGGAGGGTGAAGGCCACACATGGGCAGAATCTAGCAAGTACAGTCAGCCTTCGTCAGCTCCAAGAGCTACTGCTCTCCAAAGGAACTCCTGGCCAAGAGCTATGGACAGCGGAGCCAGAAATGAGAGGCTGACATATAAAACATGTGGAAGTAAGGAGGGGCAGGGATGAATGTTCTCTTTTGAAAAATGGGGAAATAGGGACAGTGAGGTGGTACAGTGGACAAAACGCTAGTCCTGGAGTCAGGAGGACCTGAGTTCAAATTTGGCCTTGCACATTTAGTAGATATGTGACCCTGGGCAAGTTACTTAACCCTGATTGCCTCAAAAAAAAAAGTGGGGGGGAGAACTGAGGTCTAATGAGGGAAGAGACTTGTCTAACAAGGTCACACAGCTTTCATAGACATTTTCTATTTTTTTTCATCATCAAACAGTATTTATTAAATACTTAGCCATGACACTAGTCTTGTTGCTATATAAATTAAGAGAGTCATAGAATTTTGGGGCTAGAAGGGACATACGGAACTACCAAAATATGAATAATAATGATACAAGGTCATAATTTATAGCATTTTATGGTTTCCAAAGTACTCTCCTTACAACAGCCTTGTGAGAATGACACTATAACCCCATTTTACAGATAAGTATGCTGAGGCTTACAGAGTTTATGTGCAGCTGATGAGTAGAGTGCTGGGTTTTGAATCAGGAAGACCTGAGTTCAAATCCAGACTCAGATGCTTACTAGATGTATAATCCCAGGCAAGTCACTCAACCCCTGACTGCTTCAGTTTCCTCAACTACAATATAAGGATAATAATGCCACCAATTTCACAGGATTATTATGAGGATGAAATGAAATAATCTTTGTAAAACACTTAGCATACTGTCCAGCACATAGTAGACACTTATCAAACACACCAGTCTCTAATCTTCTTCTTCCCTTTCCTTCCCCTGAAGGGGTTGGTGGAACTGGGTTTCAAACTCAGGTCTAGATTGAGTCTAAATCTAGTATTTTTCCCCCTATTTTACTAAGACATTTTCTTTCTTTTTTTTTAATTTTAATTTTTTTAAAAGACATTTTCTTATAGAATGTTTCACAACACTCCTATGAGGCAGGCTGGGAAATTATTATCATCCCCATTCTACAGATGAAGAAACTGAGGTTCAGAGAGGTAAAGTCATTTGCTAAAGATCACAAAGTAGATCAATGGCAGAGACAGCACTTGGGTCTTCTGATCCCCAGGCACCTGAACTTTTTTGCTCTACCACTTCCATAAACTGTGCCAAGAAACGACATAGTGCCAAGGTCTGGGGTTATTTTTAAGTGCTTTTAATTGAGCCTAGGAAGGTTCCACTGACCATGTTTTCAAATACTCCCTCTTCAGGACCTGCCCCCATCAGCACAGTGATCATACCAACAATACTTTTGGCATGACCTATCAGCACAACTTACTCTAGCTCTTCCACAGTATTGCAGTGACTCAGCCCAGATGCTACCTGGCACACGCCCTCAGAGCTCACCACGATGGCTGTCAGCCTGGCAAAGAAATAAGGACAGCAACCTGTGGTTTGGTGTTCTCAAGCATGGGGGTATGGGAGGAGGGGTTGGGGGAGGGGTAGAGACGGGATGGGAAGCACTAGAGGGTCATCAGGAATTGGGGAAACTCTGAATGGACTGTCCCTTCCCAACTTTCCACCCTCATCTTTCTAGGATCATTCACCTATAGATTATCTAAGAAGCAGGACATGGACTAGATGACTTTCAGTCCAAGTGTTTGGGAATAACAGGATATGGCTGAGGTGGCTAGCCAAGCTGTGTGTGGGACATCATTTAAAAAGTCTCCATGTCCTACCTGAGTTTCTTCAATTCAAGGAGAGACAGAAGCAGAGTCTTGAGTAGCTGGGTGCTGGTATCACACAAGTGAACCTGGGACCAGCTGTGGGAGAAAATAAATTGTTCAGAAAGCATTAGAGCTAGAAATGATATGGGAGGTCATTTAAGACAAACCCTTGTTTTAATGGATGTAGGACCAAGGTACAGAGAAATAATGGAATGCCTCAAAGGTTACACAGGAGTCAGCTGGAGACCCAAGACTAGGGTATATGCTGAGGAATATGCTGCCACCTGAAGTCTTAGCAAAGCTGTGACATCTTTGTGAAACTTAACAACAAATGTGAACTATTGTTCCTGTTATCATCATCCTATCACCCAACTATGAGTATTTACTTTCAAATCCCTGATTTCATTCCATCTTCACAGTATCCTCTGGAAATGAGGAGGGGTGAGTAAGTCTTTCCATTTGAAAAATGGGGAAACCGAGGTCTAAAGAATGGATTAGCCTTGCTCTAAGTCACATAGCCAGGGGGAAAAGCTGGGACAAGAACCTAGTTCTCTTGGACCAAATCTATTGCTCTTTCCACCATACTACTGCAGCCTTTGCTGATAAAATGTGCTCATGTCCAAGTTCGTTGAGTTCTGCCTTCCAAATCACAAAGCTGAAAAGGACCTCGACAGCTATCTAGTCCAACTCATGTCCAAAAGAAATTCCTACTATATATATTCCTACATATCTAGCAGGTGGTCATCTAGTACATGGGGGGGGGGGAAGGACCACCCCCAGAAGTGTGACATTTGTCTTTGTGGACAGCGTAATTACTAGAAAGCTTTTCCTGACATCAAACCTACATTTTCCTCTTTGGAACTTTCTCCTATTGCTCCTGGTTTTAATTCTTTGAACCCTTAAAGAAAAACATCTAATCTCTCTTCCATATGACAGTCCTTTAAATATTTAAATTGTCTCCCTTGAGCCTTCTCTTCTCCAGGCTAAACATTAAACACCTCTAGCTCCATCAATCAATCCTTATATAACATGGACTCAAGACCCTTTACCATCTTATGTCCTTTTTTATGACTTAATTTTTTATTAATTAATTCATTTTTAGTTTTCAATAATCACTTCTGTAAGTTTTTGAGTTTTAAATTTTTCTCCCCCTCTCTGCCTCCCTCCCCGAGACGGTGTGCAATCTGATATAGGTTCTACATATACATTTCTATTAAACATATTTTCACATTAGTCAAGTTGTAAGGAAGAATTAGAACCAATAGGAGGAACCACAAGAAAGAGGAAACAAAATAAAACAGAAGAAAAAAAGAGCAAATAGTACACTTCAATCTGCATTCAAACTCCATAGTTCTTTCTCGGGATGTGGACAGCATTTTCCATCATGAGACTTTTGGAGTTGTCTTAGATCCTTGCATTGTTGAGAAGAGCTAAGTCAGCCATCACTCAATGTGGCTATTACTGTGTGCAATGTTCTGATTCTGCTCACTTCACTCAGCATCAGTCCATACAAGTCTTTTCAGGTTTTTCTGAAGTCTCCCTGCTCATTATTTCTTATAGCACAATAGTATTCCATTACATTCATATACCACAACTTGTTCAGCCATTCCCCAATTGATGGGCATCCCCTCAATTTCCAATTCATGGCCACCACAGAAACATCTTATGTCCTTCTTAAACTGAGCCAAAGCAAACTAAACACAGTATGTGGTTCAACCTGGGCAGAGAACAATGATAATATCATCTCCCTCTTCCTAGAAGCTCTGCCTCTCTTAACGTAGGCCAAGATTGAATTAGTGCTGGGGGTTCCATGTCACACTGCTGACTCATATTGAGCTTATATCTCATGAAACCCCCCCAGATCTTTTTCAGAACAATTGCCGTAACCGTCCAACTGCCATAACAACTGTCCATAACTCTTCTATCTTATATATGTGAAGGTTATCTTTTTGCAGCCCCTCTTGAACTTCACCTTACCAAATTTAGCACAATGTTCTAGCTCATGTTCTAGTTTTATTGACTGTCAGCAGTCTTAATTATCTACCATGTGCCAGGTCCTGTGCTAAATGCTAGAGACATAAAGAAAGGCAAAAGACAGTCCCTGCCCTCCAGGAGCTCATAATGCAATGGAGAAGGCAACATACAAATAAATACATACAAATAAGCTATAGAGAGGAGAAATTGGGAATTGCTGTTCATCCTTCTTTCTTGAAGAAGACCATGACACCAGGCAGGTGATGCCATGACATGCAAGTGAATTAGATTTAAGTGAGGAAGGGCTGTGCAAAGTCACCAGCCTCACTTTGTCCTTCTGAGTCATCTGGGTATAGGTGAGGATGACTGGAGATACCCCCGAATGCAGTAGGAGACCTTGACCTTTTTAAGCTAAGTTCTTTCCCAGGTCTCAGTTTTTCTGAGGCAATGCCCATTCAGTGATTAAGGCTAGGTAAGAAATGAGGCAGAGAATGGCCTCTTCAAAAAAAAATCAATCAGAGAGGGGAAGACCCTCATGGTTTCTGGCCAAAACAGAAAAAGTTGCTGTTTACATCCACTCTGAGCCATCAGGACCCAAACTATGACCAGGTGGGGCTTAGGCTGGGACCTGCAGGGATTTTAGTTGGAACTTGAAAGAAGCCAGGGACAGTAGGAGGGTGAGATAAGGAGTTAGAGCATTCCAGGCATGTGGAAGAGCCAGTGAAAACATGTGGAATCTGGAAATGGAGGTCTTGTTCGATGAACAAACTGCTAAGAGGCCAGTGTCACTAGGTTTTAGAGAAAGTAGAGGAAAATAAGTGCATGATGACTGGAAAGGTAGAAAGGGGTTTTAAAAGCCAAACAAAAGATTTTATATTTGATCCTGGAGGTGTTAGGGAGCCACTGGGTGGCTGAATGGGGTTAGATCATCACTTTTTTTGGGATCCTGACTTATCCAGTGTGTTAGCTAGCCATCCCAGCTTTGTATCATCTGCAAATCAAAGGATCATGCCATCTAGATCTTTATCCAAGTCACTGATAAAAAGATTAAACAACACAGGGTCAAACAGAGATCCCTGGGGCACTCCACTACAGACCTCCTGCCAAGCTGACATTGAACCATTAACAACTACACTTTGAGTCTGAGTCCTCAACCAGTTCCAAACCCATTTACCATCTGGTCCACTTTTCTCTATCTTTCCTCCAAGATAGTATGGCAAATATTTTTCTAAAATCTAAGTGTTCAGTTTTTTTTTTCAGTCATGTCTGTGACCCCATTTGGGGTTTTCTTGGCAAAGATACTGGAGTCATTTGCCATGTCCTTCTCCAGCTCATTTTACAGATGAGGAAACTGACGCAAACAGAGACATGACTTGCTCAGGGTCACACAGCCAGTAAGTGCCTGAGCTCAGATTAATGAACTCAGGAAGATGAGTCTTCCTGATTCCAAGTCCCCAGTGCTCTATCCACCACACCACCTAGCTGCCAAAATCTAAGTAAGCTACACCTACAGCATTCTCCTAATTTGCTAGTTTAGTAACCCTATCAAAAAAGGAAATGAAGTTAGCCTAGCATGACCTGTCCCTGAGGAGACTATGCTGGCTCTTCATGATCACTGATTCCTTTGATAGATGTTCACTATCTCCTAAATGATCCATTCTAGAATTTTCATGAAAATTAAAGTTCACAGGCTCATGCAGTTTGCAGATTCTATTCTCTTCCCTTTTATGGAAAGGGATAACATATACCCTCATCCTTGGCATTACCTCTCCCATTTACCATGATCTTTTTTTAAAAAAATATTTTTTCAATTAACAAAAACCCCCTATTTTCTCTCCTATGACCTTACAGATATTACTGACAATGACTTTACTACCTGAAGCTATAACTTATCTGGGTTAGGTAATGAATTCATCAACTATGTGGTCTCTTCCTAACTCCTCATTTTTGTTTTTCGTATCAATTCTTGGTTAGTTATTTTTGTTCTGTCATTGCCAATGCAAAAACCAAAAACAAAAAGCAAAACACCCAGAACCCAAAACAAACCCCAGAAGCAAAATGAGATTTGGGAAGCTCAGCCTTCTCTGTTGTCAGTTATCATTGTCCCATCCACATTGGGATATGGAAACAGACCATGTGGGTCTTCCTAAGTCCAACCAATACTTCTAATCTCTGACACAACATCAGGGAGGGACATTTGGAGTTTGTCCCAAGGCCTCTGGTCATCTAGACCAGGATTTTTACACAACCCAGGGGCAGAGAGATAAATGGAGGCTGAGCCTCAGAGATATACTCACCTAAGCTCCTGTAGTCTGATGTACTTTTCAACCACCTGCCTGATGGCAAGGGTTTGGCTGACTCCTAGGTCACACTGAGCCAGTCTGCAAGGAAATTTGGGGAAAGGAGATTCAGTTAAATTATACAAGATGCCTACTATGTGGTAGGTGCTGGGTATATAAAGACAAAATGATAGTCCCTGCCCTCAAAAAGCTTCCATTTCTTTTGCATGAGGTCTATAAGCTTATGCCTCTTGCCAGCTTTACCAGCCTCAACAAACTCATTTCCTAGAGGAGGTGATGTATAGAAAGACCTACAAGGGAAAGAGTCATATATGAATTCATGAAAGTCTCAGGTTCATTATGGGCTTGGCTGGTATTATCTTAGTGACAGGATACTTAAGCTTAGGTCCATGAACTTGTTTAAAAAAAATATTTTAATAATTGTATTTCAATGTAATTGGTTTCTTTTGTAATCCTATGCATTTTATGCATTAAAAAACAGGATTCTGAGAAGGGGTCCATAGGCTTCACCAGTCTGCCAAAGAGGGCCATGACACAAAAAAAGGTTAAGGCCCTTTGGCTTAGTGGGTTTTTACATAAAGTTCAGGGTGGCTGGGGCCAGTAAGCTCCAGATGGACATGTCAAGTTAATTATTTACTAATAGAATGTTCGAGGGGAAACTCCCCAACATGGTCTTTTAATTGTGGTCACCAAAATCTTTCTGGAGTTTTTTTTGAAATTCAAAGGGGGCCAAGAGTGTCCAAGTCTGCTCTGGGGAGGCTGAAGCCGATGGACAGCTGGAAATCAGCAGTTCTGGGCTGCTGTAGGGTTAAAGCCAATCAGGTGTCCACACTAAGTCCTTCACCAATATGGTGAGCCACGGGCACTGGGGGTGGGGAAGTTTAGGGGGGAGGGGGTGTACTAGGCTGCCTAAGAAAGGGCAAAATGGCCCAAACTGGAAATAGAGCTGGTCAGAGCTTTTGTGCTGATCAGCAATAGGATCCTGCCAGGAATTGCCACGGAACTTCCAGCTAGTAAGTAGGAGGAACAGTAGAAAGGATAAGAGAAGGAAGAAAAAGAGGCAGGAAGAGGAAGAAAAGAAAGAGGAGAAGGAAGAAGAGAAAGAGGAGAAAAAGGAGAAAGAAGAAGGGGGAAAAGGAAGAGGAAAAGGAAGAAGAGGAGGAAAAACTGGAAGAGGAGAAGAAGGAGGAGGAGGAGGAGAAAGGGAAGAACAGGAAGGAGGAGGAGAAGGTGAAGGAAGAGGAGGAGAAAGAGGAAGAGAAAGAGGAGGAGAGGGAGAGGAAAAAGGTGAAGGAAGAGGAGGAGAAATCAGAGGAGCAGAAGAAGGAAGAAGAGGAGGAGGAAGAAGAGGAGGAAGAAGAGAAGGAAGAGAAAGAAGAGGAGAAGGAAAATAAGGGAGAGGAGGAGAAAGAAGAGGGAAGGAGAAGGAAGAGGAGAAGGAGGAAGAAAAAGAGAAGAAAAAAGGAGGGGGAAGGGGGATAAATTTAGAAAGAGTAAGAAGTTCTGCTTCTCATGGGAGTGTGAACCAGGCTGAAGATATAAGCAGTTTCAATAAAAGTTTATCTGAATTCCTGCATAATGGACCCCTCCTGTGCTGTTAAATGAAACTGTTAGTTTGGGACCTTTCCCTTTTAAATCTCACAAAGCCCTTGTTTGCACCATTTCAATGCACTTGTAATATCTTGTATTATAACTATTGTGTTTATGTTATAGGCATCTACTAAACAATAAGCTCTATGAGAACAGAGGCTGTGCCTCATTTAAACTTTGTATTTCACCCAGAACCTAGCCTACAGCTCTGCAGAAAGTAGCCACTAAATAACTGTTTCTTGAGTTGAGTTCCTTGATTTTAATTCTGTTCCATAGGCTGCCACCTCATCAGTGCACACAACTGCCTACTAGGTGGGGAAAGAGAGAATGTGGAAGGCTTCATGTAACCCATCCCTACTACTGGGGAAAGAACTCAAAGTACATACCTCATGGGTCAAGAGAGTCATTTTGATGGTAAAATGGCTATCAGCTCTTCCCAGGGCATAGACTAATCTGTATTACTGTGAAACATGCCATTTAATAATGCCATGGTATATCAAGTTAATATTGACTTATCAGAGTTAACCAATTGGATTAACTAATCCAATCTCCATCCCATGGGGCAAGAAGGACTTTTATTGAGTCCTGTGGAGTGAAATTAACTGTGAAAAGGGCTCTGGAGGATTTTTAAAAAATATTTGGGCCTAGGTCCATCTACCCCACCAGCCCTAGCCAGAGTCTACAATGACATGGGGACACAGAAGACCCACCTGAGTACTGGAACTTACCTGAAAGTTGCAACTGCAGGATTCTCTGTCTGCTGGGAAAATGCCTCTTCAATATGGAGGAGAGACTGTTGTCTGGAGATGCTAGGAGAAGGAAGAAGGGCATGCCTAAGGGCCTGGACTTTTACAGTTACGTTATTACAGGAACATTGATTTTTTTAAAATGTTAATATGTAATTTTCTTTTTTCTTTTTTTTAGATAATTAATATATTTTTAGTTTTCAATAAATTTTCTCCCCCTCCCTCTCCTCCAACCTCCCCAAGGTGGTGTGTAATCTGATATAAGCTCTACTTTAAATTCACATTAAGCATACTTTTACATTAGTCATGATGTAAAGAAGAATTAGAGCTAATGGGAGGGACCACAAGAAAGGGAAAACAAAACAACAGAAGAAAAGGAGAGCAAATAGTATGCTTCCATCTGCATTCAGATTCATAGTTCTTTCTCTGGATGTGAGTCTTTTGGAGATGTCTTAGAGCCTTGCGTTGCTGAGAAGAGCTAAGTCTATCAAAGTCAGTCATCACTTAATGTGGCTGTTACTGTGTTTAGTGTTTTCCTGGTTCTGCTCACTTCACTCAACATCACTCCATACAAGTCTTTCCAGGTTTTTTTGAAGTCTGCCTGCTCATCATTTCTTACAGCACAATAATATTCCATTACATTCATGTACCACAACTTGCAGTCATTCCCCAATTGATGGGTATCCCCTCAACTTCCAATTCTTGGCCACCACAAAAAGAGCTGCTATAAATATTTTTATACATGTGGGTCCTTTTCCATCCTTTATGATCTCTTTGGGACACAGACCTAGAAGTGCTATTGCTGGGTCAAAGGATATGCACATTTTTATAACCCTTTGGGCATAGTTCCAAATTGCTCTCCAGACTGGTGCATCAGTTCACAACTCCAGAACATAGATTTTATGTTGGAAGGGACCTCAGAGGTCATGAAATCTAACTCTTCTTATTTTATAGATGAGGAACTGAGGCCCAGAGAGGTTAAGGGACTTGTCTAGGATCACACAGCTATTAAGTGTCTTAGTCACTATCCAAATCCAGGTCTTTCTGAGTAATCTATATATTATGTCATGGTGTTTGTAAGAATATATCAAGGATTAGATGACCTCTAAAGCTGCTCCTAAGTAGCCCCATAAATCATTTTTTTTTCCTTTCAGTGTATGGTCCTTGACTTCCCAGAATCATGGAATATTAGAGCTGTAAGAGACTTTCCAGATATTCTAGCTCAGGGAGAAGTGACTTGCCCAAAGTCACAAAGCCAGAAAATTGCAAAGCTGGATCTCAGTTCCAGCTGTCCTGACTTCAAGTCCAGTGCTCTTTTCACTAGAATTCCCTGCCCACCCTCTACCTCTAGTGATTCAAATAAAAAATTTTCAAATTTAAAAATTTCAAATTCAATTGCAAATCAGTCTGTTTTCTTCTTGATAACAGTGCAAGCAAGAGGGTAAAGAGTTGTTCTGGATCATCTGTAATTTCCAGTGCTCTCTTTGTCCCCAGTTATTCCTTGTCCCCTGAAGGGGAGAACTGGAATCAGAGACAGAAGGGGCCTTGGTAATTCTCGAGTCTAATCCATTCATTTTACAAATGAGGAAACAAAGACTTGTTCAAGGTAAGTTGTTGTTCAGTCATTTCAGCCTGACTCTTTTGTGACTGCATTTGGGGTTTTCTTGAAAAAGACACTGGAGTGGCTTGCCACTTCCTTCTCCAGCTCATTCTACAGATGAGGAAACTGAGGCAAATAGGGTTAAGTGACTTGCTCAGGGTCACACAGCTAGCATATGTCTGAGGCTGGATTTGAACTCATGAAGATGAGTCTCCCTGCCTCCAGACCTGGCACTCTATCCACTCTCTATCCACTCAATTGTCCATAATCAATAAACCCAGATTCTCTGGCTCCAGATCCAGCATTCTTTCCACGGCACCATCTCTAAGGCCCTGTAATTCATAGAACCATTCCTGGAGCTGTTAGGAATGAGCTTTAGCCCTGTGTATATGCTGGGGTCTAATTTTAGAAACTATGGATCCCCAGGCACCTTCCCAGATCCCTTACCTTATCTTGGTGATGTTGCCTGAAGCCTGGACACTTGCATCCAACAGGGTAGTAACACTGGCCATGGTCACCCATGGCTCTTCAACACTGTAATTAGAAACAGATATGGACTTCTCAGAACCAGCAGCGGACAAAGGGAACCTGTAGCCTATTTAACACTCTTTTTTTAGTCCCTTTTTTGTTCTCAGTCTATTTTCCCTGGATCTAGGTCACAGAACACAGAAATCTGAGAGAAACAGCTCTTTGGGGGTTTGGGTGGCAATAGATTAGTCAAAGGAGATTCTAGGTTGTTAAAAAAAAACTGTTCTAGGCATGTCAATATAAAAACCCCAACAATTCCAGATACTTCAGAAAATAGTTCTGGGCACTACAAAACAAGTTATGAGCTTCCATTTCCCATATCCCACCTCTGCCACAGATCAAAGAGTTCCCCAAACTTGACTAACTCTGGGTGGAGACATACCTGATCCTCAGCATCCCTGATGGCATCCTCACTAAATTCAAGAGAAGTTGCAACCCTTGTAGTGATACTGTGTTATTGGCCAATCTAGGAACAGAGATTTTTGGAATGAATCGCAAACCCAGGCTGAGCATAGGGGTTGAAGAAAGGAGAACAAATTCTTCCCATGGATAGAATAAGGACTGCCCCAGGAAACCAGAGTCACCTGAGAACTGAAGATGGAGGGGATATTGAGGCATTGGTATATCTTCCCTGATTAGTTGGCTCCAGGATGAGACAGAACCCCAGAAGGAATTCTGGTTATTAGACAGTAGGAAGATGGATGGGAAGTAATGGAGAGATCACCAGGCCATCACTTTAAGACATCCCTTGTCCAGCCCTCCAGTGACATGGGTTATTATCACTCACAAAATAACAATAATAATAATGATAATGCCCCTATGTGTAGATACTGCTATACTTTTACATATAGTGTTCTTTCACATATGATCAGATATAATACCATTTTATTTATCCTTAAAGCAATCCTGCACGGCAGGCAGTGCAGGAATTATTATCCCAATTTTATTGAGGAGGAAACTGAGGCTCAGAAATTGTAAGACTCAGCACTGGTTTTTCATTTAGTGGTCGAACCATTAGAATTCAATTCTGGCGTTGAACCCTTTAGCTGATGATGGTACAGTCTACGGAAACCTAAAGATATCAGTTGCTCAGCTGATACTACAGGTAGATGGATGGTAGCTGGAACTGTGGACTGGAACCACCATTCTGTGGTGGCACTGCACTGAATGTATGGACCTTTACGAAGGTGGTGTGGAGTTTTTGAAAGGGTGCTGGTTTGAATCCCAGCTCTGCTCCTTATTACCTCTGTGACTACAGGAAAGTTCCTTTCCCTTTCTAGACCTCGTGGAATCATAGATTTAGAGCTGAAATGGACATTAAAGGTCATTTCGTCCAACTTCTTCATTTTGCAGATGAGGAAACCAAGGTTCAGAGAGGTTGGGTGATTTGCCTGAGGTCACACAGCTAGTAAGTAGCAGAGCCAAGATACAAACTAAGATTCTCTGACTACAAATCCAGCACCCTTTTGGGTAACCTGTGCCAGGCCAGACCTCAGGATGTCTTCTGGGGAACAATCTTCTCAGTGGACCAGGCTCACCGGGACAGAGAATCTGGGATTCAGCTTGTGTATCATTCTACCTGCCTTCTCTTCCTCCTCTTTAAAGTGAGGGATGCAGACTAGGCGATTTCCAAGTTTGCTTCCAGTTCTAAAATGCAGCAGCAGAGCCTGGAGTAGTGCTCAAGGGTCCTGACTCCCAGTTCAGAGTTCTTCCTTCTACACTACATTGCCAGGCACGCCCTATGGTCTGGCATAAATCCAACTCATTTTGACAAGTATTTATTCAATGCCTATTGTTTTCAGGGTCCAGATTGAGTTACTAATAAAACAAATATGAAACAGGACAGAGCCCATGCCTTTAAGATATCACTGATGTGTTTGGAGCAGGTGGAAGCTTCCTGACTGGGAGCTCCTCCTTCCCTCTTCCCCACCCCCATTTCCCCTTGCTCTGCCCATGGCACTGGTCTTGGTTGCTTACATGAGATCAGTCAGCTTCGGCACTTGTCCCACCAGGGTGGCCAGCCTGATGATGTGCTCTTGCTGGAAGTTGAATCTGCTCAGTCTGAGAGGGGAAAAGGCAGAGAGGTCATGGTCAGGCTTATCAGAGGGACTGACTTTGCAGTCTAAGAATGAGCCGAGGGTTTAAGTTCCAGCAATTTGCTCAGCACTGGATGGAAAGCTCACTGTGGACAAAGGCTTGAATTAGTGTTGAGGATGGGAATGAAGAAGGTAGGAAAAAAATCAGTCCTTGGCCTTGGGGAATGAAGAGATTCCTAACTTGAGGTCTGTGAACTTGTCTTTAAAAACAATTTTGATAAACATATTTCAATGTAATTAGCTTCCTTTGTAATTTTTCTGTAGTTTATACATTTAAAAACATTGCTCTGAGGAGGGCTCCTTAGATTTCACCAGACTGCTAAAAGATCCATGGCATAAAAGGGTTAAAAACTCCTGATCTAATGAAAGAGACATTGAAACACTGACAAGACAAACACATCAAAAAGCTAAGCCTACTATGTTCACTATGATGACTGTTCATGGTGCCAGAAAATGCCATTACAGAGAGGTGATAGATTTAGGGTGTAGAATAAGACACATATTTTTTTAAAAAGACACATATTTTTATACACAGCCATTGATGGAATTTTTGTCTTGCATATTTGTTAGAAGAAATTTGTTTTCCTTTCCTTTCCAATGGGTGGGGAAGTGGGAATAGAGAAACACATTTCTGTTAATTATTTTTTAAGGGGGGGGCTTGCTTACAGATGTGAGATGTTGTATGTGCTTCCAGATAAGGTTACTATGTTATTATTAGTTTTACTTAACTGTTTTATTTTGTTGTAAGAGACCTCTCATAAGGTGTGAATAATTTATAATTGTATAAAATGTGAAAACAAAACACATTAATAAAACTTTTTTTCAAAAAGCTGAAATGAAAATGATTTGAGGTACACACAAAGACTGAAGCAACAAAGGACAATGAAATGGATGGTCCACACTAGAAAGTAACAGGCTGGGAAGGTTTCCTAAAAGAAGGTACAGAATCATATATTTGGAGCTAGTGAGGACCTTGAAATCATGGGGGGCTGTGGAATCTAACTCTCTCGTTTTACAGAGGAAGAAACTGAGGCTCAGAAAGGGAAAGGGAATTGCCTAAGATCACCCAGACAGCAGAACTGGGGTTTGAACCCAGATCCTCTGGCTCTAAATTCAGTGCTCTCTTCATTATACTATGTTGTCAGGATTTGAGGGAAGAGTGATATGGTTGGTGGAGAGGAGAGGGACTAACCAGCAAAGGAGAGAGTTCTAATTCCCCTTCTCCTCTCTGCCCACCCCAATCTGGCATTACCTCAGGATCTTTCTGGGCTCTTGGTGCTCTGTGAACTGTATCAGAAACTTCTGCTCTGGATTCAGGCTGCATAGAGAGAAGTGAGTGAACATAGGATAGAAATAGTCCCTGATGAGCCCTGATCACAGGGAACAAGGGATTGGGGTGGTAGGATCAGGGTCGACCACAGGACTTCAGACCTTTTATATCATCTAGTTCTACCCTATCATTGTATATGTGGAAAAACTGAAGTCCAAAGATGGGAAAGCACTTATCTAAGGTCACATAGCAAGTAAATGTCAGAGCCAAAACTAGAGCTCCCAGTCCAATGGTCTTCCCACTGCACTCCAAAAATGTCAGTGCCCAAAAGACTTCGGGATAGTGAGGTGAGTAGGTGTTGATCTTCCCCTTCCCCCCTATACAGAGGAGACCCCCAAAGCTCTAATAGTGGGAAAAGTGAAGTTGGAGGGTGAGTCACTCACCTGAGTGAGACTTCACGGGCCTGTGTGCAGGTGGAGAGAGCAATGGTGGAGCAATGCAGAGCACCCTCCTGAGAGATGCCATTGTGGCTTAGGCTGCAGTAGGAAAGAGGGGAGAAGGGACTGGGGCAGTGTGGCTGAGACCCTTGGATGCTACTGTAAGGAACACATCCAAGGAGAACTTCCCCTCTCTCCTTCCCTCCACCCCCTGAAGGATTCTTGGGATCAAGAATGCCATTCCCTTAGCTCCTCCTCGTCTATCATGGCCATAATAATAATAATAACTGGCATTTATATAGAGCTTTAAAGTTTGTAAAGTACTTTATATGCATAATCTCATAACCACACAAGAAATATACTACCCCTATTTTACAGATGGGAAAACTGAGGGTCCAAGAGGCTGAATGACTTGCCCATGGACACACAGCTAGTAAGTATCAAAGGTAGGAGTCATACAGGTAGGAAGTATTTGAACTTAGGTCTTCCCGATTCCAGGTCCTGCATTCCATCCATGGTGCCACCTAGCTGCTTGAGGATGCTGTCTCAGACCACCAATATGGGCACTGCATCAAAAATCTTTGGGAAACTCCTGACTATCAGCCTAAATTCTCCTTGGCAGTTTAAATTAGCCTCACAAGTCTTCTACATCTTCCCAGCTCTAAATCCAGCACTCTAGCCTCCACAAAATTCTGCACCCAGTTGCATGCCTTTGGATCACCTCTGTGCCCCAAAACACCACCCACATTCAGGAAAGGAGGAGGCTAGACTCCCATTGGGATCAGATCATTATCAGTTTGCTAGGAGTCAATTAGCTTGCTGAGTGGAAACATAATGTTAATGAGGACAAGATCTTAGGTTCAATCCCCATAGGGGCCAGTAAGCTTTTAAAAAGAAGAACTACTATTTATTGACTACAGATCATTGCCTTCCCCCTCATCAACCTTTGCTAGCCACAACATAAATACATGGCTTGAAACCAAGGGGACTCAGATGAGAAGTGTAGGTGGCTAACTATAACTCCAGCCTCACTGCTGGGGACACAGCTCAAGGCAAGAAGTAATGTAGGCTGAAGTGAGATTTCTGGATTATTTATAAATTTTAATGATCCCTTTCTTGTTATACATGATCATGCACAGTCAAGTTCACAACAGAAGGACCATTTGGATAGGATGAATAGGAGGAATGAGACTTTCAGCTCTGGCCAATGTCTTGCTTCCCTAGTAACTAGCAAGGATTCTTTCTTACACAGTGAGCGGGAGGAATAGGATAGGATAGGAAGGGATAGGAAGGACCTCAGTTCTTTCTGAAGAGATACCAGAGTGATGTTTATCCTTATATCCTTCCCTTCTTTATACCAGAGATTTTGTTTTGTTCTCTTTAATTCCTTGTCTTGAGTTAAGTTCTTAGTCAAAAAACCTTGGGGTTCTCATCTAAAGATTGCCCATAAATGCCTTCAGTTGATGGTTTTCTTTTGCTCTCGCCTATTTGCTCCTCAATCCCATAGGCTAGTTGCTTTCTTACTTGAGTGAGCCAGAGAGATTCATCTGAGGTAAATGCTTCAGAAGATATTTGAGCCCTTCATCATCCAGCAAGTTTCCTGACAGACTGAACAAAATAGAACAAGACTAGGTTACAGACCATCTGTTGATGGCTATTATCACCATCACACCATCAACATCCTTATCCCTCTGCTTTAATGAACACACATAAAGAACACAACCCTTAGGAGTTACAGAAAACTGAGTAGATATAGACTTGCCTTCCAGGGGCTTATACTCTAGTAAAAGAGAGGAGGAAACAAAATCAACAGGTGATGTCCCAGAGTCCTATGTGGGAGAAGGCCAAGCCCAGATGATTCCCAAAGCAGACCCATGATGAGAATGTGCAGTGAAACTCTCTCAGTACTTTTATCTTTTTCCTCTGTACATTCACACAAGCTGCCATGTGTAGAATGTACCACTGTGTCATCTTTGCTTCCCAGAATCCTTGTCCACCTTCAAGGCTTAGCTCAAGTATCATCTCCTCTATAAAGCTTTCTCTGAACCCTCTCCCTTCACATTGTTCATGCACTCTTCCTCAATTTGCCTCCCACTATACTTATTTGTGTATCTACTGTATCTTCTGTAGTAGATTGTAAGTTCCTCAAGGGCAAGGATTGTTTTTATCTTTGTCCCTCTAGCACCTAGGACAGCTACTTTGTATACTCACATATATGATTTTCCCCCAGCTCCAACTTACTCAAGGTGACTCAGATCTTTGCACTGCCGTAGTGTATGGCACAGTTGCTCCATACCCACTTGGCGGATGCAACAATCTGTGAGTCTGTGGAAGGAAAGACAGACAGGAGATATCTACAGCAGCAGGAAAGTCCATGGCCTTGACCCCTGCCTTCTGTACCCACAGATATATCACTCCTCTCTCAGGTTGCTCCATTCAGATAATAATTATAACAAAAACAACAGCAACAGCTAGCATTTGCATAGTGTTTCATAGTTTGTAAAACACTTTATAAATACTTTTCATTTGATCCTCACAACAACCCTGGGAGGTAGGTGATATTATTATCCCCATTTCACAGATAATGAGACTGAGTCAGAGAGTGGTTAGATGGCTTGTCTGGAGTCATACAGGTAGGAAGCATCTGAAACCACATTTGAACTAGGTCTTCCTGATTCCAGGTCCTGCACTCCATCCATGGCGCCACCTAGCTGCTTGAGGATGCTGTCTCAGACCACCAATATGGGCACCACATGAAAAATCTTTGGGAAACTCCTGACTATCAGCCTAAACTCTCCTTGGCAGTTTCAATTAGCCTCACAAGTCTTCAGGAAGGATTATTAGGATGGCTGAAAGTTCCTAAGGGATAAAAATATATAGCAGGGACCATCAACCCATGACTCTGGTGAGGCCCCACAGTCTCTTTAAGGAACAGAATGGGTTAGCTCAGAGGATCACAGGTTGGTGTCAAAGTGACCAAAGTTGTGGGTGTGGTCCCTAAGTGGCTCACCCAGTAGCCTGGCTATTCCATAACTATAAGCTGTGCTCCTAACCCAGGCCAACCATCTCACAAATGCAAACCCTTGGTCCCAAGGGGGTGGCTTGGGAGAGGAAATTTGGATGGTTTGATGCAAATCTGTCCCTACTGATGGAGACTTAACCTTCTTGCATTATGGTTAGCATTGTTATCTCACAATCAATAGCATATTCTATTCCCTTGATAGCCAATCATCCTGTGCTGGGTATTTGGACCCCCACTGCTAATAAAGTTGGGCACTAGCTAGGCCACCAGTCATTATTCTCAAGGCAGAAGCACTGATGGGCATATCAAGGCTGTCTTACCCACAGGACACTCCTTTCCTCTTGCCAGGAGTAAAGTACAGACAGGCATAATTCTGGGACCTGAAATATATTTAAACACAGATCAGGACTCTTCCTATAGCTCTCCTTGCCAAAGCTAGATCTCAGGACGCCCACTGGGGTAGAAACAATCATCTCAAGGGACTAAACACAGGAGTGGAGAATCAGGGACTCAGAGTCTAGATAGATATTTTCTCATCTTGAGGAAAGGGTTCAAAGAGCAGACCCCATGTTGTCTCTTAGGCCTACAAGGAGACCCTGATTTAGGTGAGTGGCACATGAAATGCTCAAACCTGACTCTCATCTTAGAGGACTTGTTACTCTCATGGGATATGTCTAGATAGGATGATCACATACCTGACTTCCACCTTTTGAATCTGTTCACATAGGCTAACAGCACTGGTCAGCAAGAAGATGCTATTTAGAGACAAAGTGGTCTGGCTGAGTCTGTGGGGGATGAAAGCAAAGGGAAATCAATCACTAAGAAGGAAGTCAGACAAAGCCCAGGAGTCTCCTCATGTTAGTTGTAATGTGGCATCTTTCACATCTAAAGGTGGTAGTACTGACTTTACTCACTACTGGTGGAGAGACTCTGGGAACAAGAAGTTTCCTAAGGAAGATGGCCTCAAACTACGTTATAAAGCAGTAACCATCAAAACAATCTGGTACTGGTTAAGAAATAGAATGGTGATCAGTGGAACAGACCAGGTACACAACACTCAGTAGTAAATGACTGTAGTAATCTAGTGTTTGATAAACCCAAAGACCCAAGATTTTGGGACAAGAACTCACTATTTGATAAAAACTACCGGGAAAACTGGAAAACAGAATGATAAAAACTAGGTATAGGCCAATATCTTGCACTGTATATCAAAATAAGGTCAAAATAGGTACAGGATTTACACATAAAGAGTGATGCCATAAATAAATGAGGAGAGCAAGGAGTAGTTTACCTTTAAGATCTACAGACAAGGAGGGCAGCTAGGTGGCGCAGTGGATAGAGCACCGGCCCTGGATTCAGGAGGATCTGAGTTCAAATCCGGCCTCAGACACATACCACTTACTACCTGTGTGACCCTGGGCAAGTAACTTAACCCCATTGCCTAGCCAAAAAAAAAATCTACAGACAAGGGAAGAATTTATAACTAAACAAGAAATAGAGAGCATTATGAAATGTAAAATGGATAATTTTGATTATATTAAATTTTAAAAAACTTTGCACAAAACAGAACCAATGCAACCAAGATTAGAAGGAAAGTAGAAAGCTGAGAAAAACTTTTTTTTACAGCAAGTACCTCTGATAAAGGCCTCATTTCTCAGATAGATAGAGAATTGAGCCAAATTTATAAGAAAGCAAGTCACTCCTCAAATGATAAATGGCCAAATTGTATGGTAGTTTTCAAGTGAAGAAATTAAAGCTATCTATAGTCATATGAAAAAATGCTCCAAATCACTATTGATTAGAGAAATGCAAATTAAAACAACCCTGAGGTACTACCTCACACCTATCAGAGTGGCTAATATGACAGAAAAGGAAAATGATAAATGTTGGAGAAGATGTGGGAAAATTGGGACACTAATTCATTGTTGGTGGAATTGTGAACTGATCCAACTACTCTTGAGAGCAATTTGGAACTATGCCCAAAGGGTAATAAAACTGTTCATACCCTTTGATCCAGCAATACCACTACTAGGTCTGCATCCCAAAGAGATCATAAAAAAGGGGAAAGGACCTACATGTACAAAAATATTTATAGCAGCTCTCTATGTGGTGGAAAAGAATTGGAAATTGAGGGAATGGCCATCAATTGGGGAATGACTGAACAAGTTGTGGTATATGAATGTAATCGAATACTATTATGTCATAAGAAATGATGAGCAGGTGGATTTCAGAAAAGCCTGGAAACACTTATATGAAATGATGCTGAGTGAAGTGAGCAGAACAGGAGAACATTGTACACAGTAATAGGAACACTGTGTGATGATCAACTATGACTGACTTAGCTCATCTCAACAATAGAATGATCCAAGATAATTCCAAAAGACTCATGATGGAAAATGCTATCCACATCCACAAAAGAACTATGGAGTCTAAATGAGATCGAAGCATATGTTTTCACTTTTTTTTTTTGTTTTTTGTTTTTGTTGTGGCTTTTCCCTTTTGTTCTGTTTCTTCTTTCACAACATGACTAGTGTGGAAATATTTTACATGATTACACATTTAAAAAAAAGAATTGTCATGAATACCAAGAGATAATGTATAATATTCTCTGAACCTCAATTTCCTCATCTACCAAATGAGGATAATTATTCTTGCATTACCTTCTAATGACAAACTGCTATATCATTAGCTCCTACATCTAAAAGCAACCCTTTTATTTTATAAATGAAGAAACTTAAGCCAAGGAAGATTAGGTAGCTTACTGAAGGTTATACAGATGGTAATCACCAGAGACAAGATTTAAACCTAGGTCTTTTAATTCCAGAGTCAAAATTCTTATTATCCACTCTCATTCTTTTGGCTGATTTCCCATTTGTGAAAAGGCCAACTAGGGTTAAGGGTATAGTCTGTGCTCATGGGATGGAGTGAAGCTAATTAGCTCACCCAGGGATGAAGAATGTGTCCTTGACCTCTGACCTGTTGAGTTAGCCAGACCCTTCCCTTTTCTGCCAGAGAGGATATTTGACTAAGAGGAGTTGGAAATGTGATAGCTCTTTAGGATTCTCAGAAAGAAAGGCTCTATAGAAATCTAGAGGATTGTTATTATTTTTGTCATTATCATAATAGTTTAATTTCCTGTCATATTTTTCCAGACCAGCTGGCTTTTTGGGGGGATAGGTTCTCTGCATATTTTTTCCCTCTAACACTATGCCCAGCTCTCCTCTCTGCAGAAAATATTTAAAATAAATCTTTCCATTTGAATAAGTCCAATCTGAAATTGAAAACAGTTATAAATACAAATTAGGCCACTGCTCAGAAACACTTTCCTTGTACATGCCTGATTGTGAGCTTTACAAATCCTGTCTGAAACACACTGCATTTGGAAGTCCCTATTCCTCAGGTCTTTTCTGTTCCAAGTACCACACTCTATATTTAATTTGGTTTCCCAATGACCTCAGAGATGATAATAACAATGATACCTCACATTTGTATAGCCCTTTGTAAGTTCCAAAACCCTTCTGCATTCATTATCTCATTTGATTTCTCCCAACAACCCTGTGACGGAAGCAGGACAAGGATAATCATCTGTATTTTAAAGATAAGGAAATTTAGGCCCAGAAAGAGAAAACTATTTCCCCATAGTAATAAAGTAAGCAAGTGGTAGAACCAGAATGAAAATATAAGGTCCCTTAGTTCTACCTCTTGAAATTAGGAATTTTTTTTGGGGGGGGCGTGTTAAGTAACTTGCCCAAGGTCATACAGCCAGTAAACGTCAAGTGTCTGAGGCCGCATTTGAACTCAGGTCCTCCTAACTCCAGGGCTGAAACTAGGAATTATTAAAGAGATGGTATGTCATATGTCTTTGCCAAGAAAGGTTCCATGGGGTCAGTGAAAAGAAAGGTCTAAAAAACTCACTGTAACAAGTTCAGATTGTGAAGCTGGGGTAAGTAGTCCAGTAGCATCTCGGTGCTCTGATCACTCATGGTAACATGGGAGAATCTGTGGAGGGGAAAATTCAGCAGCAGTCACATTATGAAGATGACCAAAATGAAGGATTATGTTTGACGCAAGAGGGCAAGGGACTGTTATACCTGGAGAATTCAGTTCAACATTTACCAAGCACTTGCTGGTGAGGCAACTGTCCTAGGTGCTGAAGATACAAAGATCAAAAACGGTCCTTGTCCTTGAGGAACTTATATTACTCTGAGGACACAACACACGTGTGCGCGTGCACACACACACACACACACAGATGCACACACACAATAATGTTAAACTGAGGATAGAGAACATAAGCAACAAGAAGGAGAGGAGGAAAGGGGGATCAGAGAAAGCTTTATAGAGAGCCTAAGCTGACACTTAAAGAAGACAAAGATTCTGAGAGGAAGAGATGAAGGTATGGAGTATTCCAGACAAGGGGGACAGCTTTTGTGAATTCACACAAATGGGAGACAGAGAACAATCATCAGTTTAGTTTGACTGGAACACAGAGTTCATGAAGGAGATAGTATCAAATAAAACTAGAAAGATAGATGGCAGCCAGATTGCAGAATGCCTTCAATTCCAGGCTGAGTGTACATTTTGTCTCGGATGCACTGGCAATGGGATAGCCATTGAAGGTGTTTGTGCAGAAGGATGATATGGTCAGACCCTTTCTTGCCTTAGGATAGATGATCTTAGCCACTAGGAGGAGGATGTAGAAAGGAAGTGAGATTAAAGATCCTCCCTCAGTCAGATGTGCTTAGCTCCTATTTGATCCTTTCCAGAGTCTCTTTGAGACCTTCTACAGGCCCTCAGTTACCCTAATTTGAATCTCAATATCAGAAATCACAGCATATTAGAGTTGGAAGGGATCTCAAAGGCCCCCTAGTCTAACCCGTCACTAAACAAGAATCCCCTCTATCCTCCCTTCAACAAGTTGTCATCCAAGATGTACTTGAAGACCTCCAAGGAAGGGAACTCACTACTCCCCAAGACAGCCCAGTCCACCTTTGAATAGACCTAATCAATAGGAAGTTTTCCTTGGTTTTGATTTTTCTTTTTTGAAAGGGAAAAAAAGCCAATGAGAGCCATGTCTGGTGAATAAAGTGAGGCACCCAAGGGTAAAGTTATTGGCTGAAAAATTAAGTGGGATGATAAAGACATTAGCTTTGTCTAATTCATCAGTTGCTTCTGAAGACTTTAGCCAAGGCATTTAACCTCTTAGGACTTCAGCAGACCCTGCAAGGACCCTTCCAGCTGCAAATCTGTGATCCTAAGAGACAATTTTCAGTGAGGGATTCCCAGACTGCTCTGAGAAATGAGCACTTTTAGGATAAATATTGAAACTTTCAAGAAAATCACTGCGAAGGACAGCACTTCTGTGTGTTTAAAACAAACCAATCAACCAGGATTGTTCTTTTAAGGGGTATAAGGGGTGAATATAAGATATTTAGGGAATTGGGCCTTGAGGAAGAATCTATGGCCTGCACAGAGTGTTTATTAACCATCTAAATTCAAAAGGAAAATAGATCCCAGGAACCTAATTTACAAAATGTGAATGGAGATATACTGCTCCCATTTAATCTGCCAAGCAAAGCCATGGCTAAATTCCAGAGTGTCCTGGGTGTGACGAAGAAAGTAGCTACCCAGAATATGCCTAAGTGCCAGGCGCCTTGACCACTATCTTTTCTTAGACAGTGATAGAGGTAGCCTAGGACCCTGAACCTACAAGCCTTGGTAACATCAATGCTTTCAACTTCTGAGATGTGGCCTGGCAATTGCTCCTGCAGGTGCTCCAACAGTCACATCTGTTGAAGACCCAGAATAGAAAGTTCTTGCCACCAGTCTTTGGCATTGTAAAATGGTTCAGCATCAGAAGCTGATACAGATAGATAGATAGATAGATAGATAGATAGATAGATAGATAGATAGATAGAAAGAAATATTTTATCTTTATCTCTATATATTTTATCAGTGGAAATGACATTAGAGAAGAGTTATTATTGTATGCTTTGCTGTTCCTCCCAAGGGCCACGGGACTTATCCAACTGACTTGCAACTGCAACCCTGCATATGAGTAGTCTTTCCCCATTAGAATGTGAATTCCTTGAGAGTAGGGACTGCTTTACTTTTTTATTCATATTCCCAGAGCTTAGCCCAGTGCTTTGCATATAGTCAGTGCTTAATAAATGCTATTTATTTATTTATATGAAGCAGGAAGATAGATAGAGACCAGTCCAAGGTGGAAAAGTTTCTCTTTCCCATACCTTCCCTTTAGTGGACAGAATAATTACTTTTGGGATCATTATTATGATGAGATAGATTAATTGGTGGCCAGGGCAAAGTCCATGGCTCTCCAACCTCCAAGCCTGTGGGGTAATAAGCACAAGTCTGTTTTTACCTGAGTCTCTTTTAACAGGTGTTTTCGAAGACCAAAGAGGAAATTTTGTGTTATTGTTCAGTCATTTCAGTCAAGTCTGACTCTTCTTGACCCCATCTGGAGTTCTCCTGGCAAAGATACTGAAGTGGTTTGCAATTTCCTTCTCCAGCTCATTTTACATATGAGGAAACTGAGGCAAACAGGGTCAAATGACTTGCCCAGGGTCACACAGCTAGTAAGTGACTGAGAACAGATTTGAATTCACGAAGATGAGTCTTCCTGACTCTAGGTCCAGCACTCTATCAACTGTATCATCTAGCAGCCCAGTGTTTTACTCATACCATAACAGGAATCCTCACTACAACAGCTTGGCTGGGGTTGCAGGTGTGTCTATGGGAATGGTAGTATGGCAGCTATTTGTGCTTTGTGGTTTCCCTGAGAAGGTGCTTGGAGAAATCTTAGTTAAACAGGGTTCCTGGCCAGTGGATTACCTCTCTCTTTTCCTCTACTGCTGGGATAGGATCAGAGGGAAGAGGCTGGCCCAAGACTAAATGTTCTCTGATCTGGTATAATCAGAGAGATACCAAACATCCCTCCCCTTGCCCAAAATTATCTTACCTGTTGACTTTCCACAGGACCTATAATTCCTCCCGCTGTGTCCTATGGGCTCTAGTTTTGAAGGCCTTTCTCAGAATGGAAATATGTTACTTGGGAGGGGTAACCCATTAAATTTATTAACATTCTCTGACAAGATTGGCTTAGCAGGATCTTAAAGTAGAATCTATAGGACAGATTTTTCTTCATTGTGGAATGGGCCAGAGCTTTGACCAGAGAGAGCATCACTTGGGGGGAGGGAAGTGGGGAGGGCACAGTGTGGCCCTGGGTGGAAATGTTCAATGTTAGGACACTGGGCTTTCAGAAGTCCACTATCGACAAACGTCATCTTGTTTGTACTTCTGCCATGGGTGACTTGTTCCTGACACGGGACAACTCTCCACCTAGAGTTGTCTAGGCTGTCCCTCATTCCTTGAATTCCCCCTTCACCTCTGCTTCTTAGAATCCCTGATTTCCTTGAAGACTCACCTTAAGTACCAATCACCTCCTACATGAAGATTTCCAGACCCCACAGCTGTTAGTGCCCTTCCTCCCAAGCTACTCTGTATGCATTTTGTATACTTCTTATATATACTTATTGAAATACATTCGTGTTTTCTCCCCTGTTAGACATGAGCTTCTTATGACAAGGACTTCATTTTTGTCTTTCTATCCCCAGCACTTATCACATGCCTAGCACATAAAAGGTGCTTTATTAATGTTTGCTAGTTGATGGATTTGGTTGGTCCTGTGTGGTTGGCTTCCCACAAGTTAGCAGTCCTAGCAAACCTTTTGTTGGTGGGAAGACAATATGATCACTCACAGCATCTTCCAAGAGGAGGAAAGGCTAAGTCAGGCAAAGCCTGAATGGGGCTGGACCATCATTCATCCAAGCATCCCTTCCCAGCATAAGATTTTGAATCAGGAGGCTTACAGAAAGTGATTAGAGGGATCGTGTTGGCCATGATGTCTGTAGGATAGTGTTAAACCCATTGCAGTTCAGCAGCTACTTCCTTGGCCCCCCAAAATCTGTGGAACTGGCCAAGTGCAAGACCACTTTGTACCACACCCAGGAGAAAGGCAGAGTAAAGTGAACCTGAGGAAGGCATTTATTCTTTTACTCACTTGATCTCCAGCAGTCCTTGGCACGTCTCCAGAATCTGGAGCAGCTTTCTTAAGTTTGGGGGGTCCATTTGACACTCTCTGAGACTGAAGTGAAAACAGCAGAATCAGGGCCTGAAATGGTTACAGGTGTTGTCCCAGCTACCCTCTGTTGCTTCATTTCACTGCTGTGCTCACCCTGACAGGCTCCTCCCAGTGGGTGCAGTTTGTTACTTTGCAAACATTTCTTTTTCAAACCCACCTCAAAAACTTCCCATCATCTGGAAAGACCTCTATTTATCATGGGTTCATCAATTTAGAAATGAAAAGAATCTTGGAGACCACCAAATCTACTCCCCTCACTTTACAGATAAGGAAACGGGCTGAGAGGTTAAGTGACTTTTCCAGGACCACATAGCTAATCACCATCTGAGGTGGGATTTGAACCCAGGTCTCCCTGACTCTAAGTCCAGCATTCTATCCATTGTGTCACATAAACTGCCTTTTCAGGTCCACTAAGCAAAGCTGCACTTGGAGTAGAAGAGGTTTCTGGGCCTCCTTTGAGTCTCTTTCAACAAAGGGAGAAGTCAAGGAGAGGGAGAGAGACTGTACCAAAAGCTCTTGGGAAAGTGTGCATCCCACTCTAGGGATTCCTCTTGAGTCTTCTGCTTTGCCCATTGTCCAGAGGTACTTTGTTCCCTTGGAGAGAGGAAAATACTTTATAAGAAACCCTGTCTAGTTACTAGCCAACTAAGTAAGAACTATAGTATGTGGACATGGACATGGAATGTTACAGCTGGAAGGGACCCCAGAGTCATCTAGTGCAATCTCCTCATTTTACAGGTGGATAAACAGGGGTTCAGAGATAGGAAGAGACTTGCTCAAGGTCATACAGCTAGGCAGTATAGGGACAGAGCCAGCAGTTGTCCTCTGAATGGGATGTCCCAGTGAAGACTCCTCAGTGTAATTAAGGTTTGGGATAAGGCTGAGTAGGATGAGGGGTCCCGTGAAAACTTCCCTTAGAAGAATAAATAGAAATTGTATTAGACTCAAGGCAGGAATAGCAGCTGACAGGCCCAAGTTTCGATTTACTAGAAATCACCTGATTTATGGGAATTCAGCCCCAAGTACCGCCCCCATGCCATAGTTAAGTAGTTAAAGTTTGCCAAGCCTGAAACCCCTGAAGAAGCCTCCCACTGTATTTTGTTGATGCACCTGTTGCTATATTTTGGTCATGGTGATCTGGCTACAGTGTCTAGCTTGACTGCACATCTTTAATTGCTTCTTTGGTACTACTTCAGCAAACTAAGAACATGTATATTGTGTTCATTGTTTTGTTTTCAGTTTCTATGGACATTGAGAATGTGAGCCAAATATTGGCCAGTTGGTGGGAGGGGGGAATTTGCCCATTAGGGTATATAATCAGGTCCTTTGCTTCTGTCTGTGTCTCCTTTCATCAGAGTATTCTGGTGGAGGGACACCCAAATCTCGAGGTTTGATATAATAATAATAAATTAACTTTCTGTTTCTCCTTGGATACCTCTGTGTGTTTTTTTAAATTTGAGTGGCATCCCACACATTCTCTCACATCTGGCCAGTCCCTACAGCCCCTGGGAGGGCAATCAGCAGCAGCTCCTTCCTCTGTACCAGCCAAGACTTTTGGTGTCTACATTATTTCCCCCCATGCAAGAGTTGCCCCATGGCTAATCTCCTATCTCTTCTGGATCTTTGAAGGTCTCTGGTATCATGGTCTACGTCTGGCCTTACATAGACCCACTTCCAGAAAAAGGTAGCTCTGTTTCCCCATCTCTCAATGCCATTTCCCATTCTTGGACATGTGTCTGTGTCAAACTCCGGGCATATCAGGCAAAGTACAATAAAAACTTTTTTGTATGGTATGTGCCAAGAGAATATGTTCATTCCTCAGATATTCTGGCAAAGAGTTGTGGCTGGCTTCAGGTGGGTTTACTTTTTATTTTAAAGTATCCTTGCACTCTCTCCCTAAGTCTTCTAAAGCAAACAAGAGTTACTATTTGCAGTTTGCAGTAAAGATAATGAAGTTTTGCAGTGACCTCACTGCTCTCTGCTTCAGAGATGCTAGAAGAAGTTATAATCAGAATGTGAATGGGTAATGAACTTATACATGTTAATCACCACTGTTTGCCAAAGTCCCATGAGACAGAAACCTAACTGTTCTCCTCCCAGTCACTATAGCCTTCCTTCCCACAGCAGAATAGTACATAAAGACAGTCTGACAACTCCAGGTGGTGGGGAACTCTGGCAGCATTCATGATTACTTTACTGGACATCAGCCATGTCAGAATTTCTGCTTTTAGGCATGACAAAATTTCTTACTACCTGTGCTAGCAGAGTGGGCACCATGGGCCAGTCTATTGATCCAGTGTGTATGTGTGTGTGTGTGTGTGTGTGTGTGTGTGTGTGTGTGTGTGTGTGTGTGTGTGTGTGTGTGTGTGTGTCTGCCTGCCGGGGCGTGGAGTCTGTGGTGATGACCTTTGCTCTTACCTGGCTCTCCCAATGCATTCACATAGATGGACTGTTGTCTTCCCAAGCTAGAATTCAATTAAAGTAAACATTACTTAAGTACCCACTGTGTGCAAAACACTGTACTTAGCATCGGGAGAAATGTTAAGTTTAGATAAGACTTCATCTTTGCATTTTGTGGAGTTGGGTGGCAGGTATAAAACATGTTACGTATAAACTTAAAACTATAATACAAAATAGAATCTAAGAATAGAAAAGAGGCACACAAGCAAAAACAGATGGAGAAGAGGGGCTCTTGGAAAGGCCAGAGAACTCTTCCCCTCAGATAGCTAAAAATTATCCCCTAAAAATGTAAGTAGGACAGTAATTATGCTTTGTAATTTATATTTGGTTGATACTTAGGGAAAACCACAACAATATAAACTCTGGAATGTAGAAATGGAAGGGACCTTTTGATGAAACTGAGACCAAGAGGGGGAAGTGACATGACCAAGGTCACACAGGAAGGTGTGACACTGTGTCATATTGAAATGAGAACCCAGGCCCTCTGGTTCCATTACACCATGCCATTTTCTCTACTTTTTAGTGGCCAAACCGTCATATACATTAAGATGGTGCCCATCACCCTGCTAATACCCTCTACTAAATATGAACCAAGTCTCCATTTTTTCACATGAATAGTGTGCATCCAGGCACAGAAAATCCACAAAATGAATAAGTGAGAATGATCAGATTCTGTCCTGTATGGTATCTGGGGAATTTGAATTCCTCTGCTGTCCCGCTAGGATTACCTTCATCAAAGGATCCCAAATACAAGTGATCTGGGAGGAGACAGAGAGCCAAACTCACCTGATGTCTACTTCGTGGATCCACTCCAGGTCAGAGAAAGTTGAGGCCAAGCAGAACACAGCTTCCAAGGATGCTCTATTCTCATTCAAGCTGGAGAAACATGGGGAGGGGACCATTCTTGGTATATTTCAGAGCAAGACTTTTTTAGAGGTCAGAGGAAAAAACCTCATTGACTGTCAGAGTGGAAAGGGCCTTTGAAATCATTTAGACCAACTGACTCATTTCTTGTTGCTTCTTTAAAATAAAAAAGTCTTACTAACATCTTTATTTTTACGTATCATGGTCATTTTTTTTTTGGAAACTGGGGTTAAGTGACTTGCCCAGGGTCACACAGCTAGTAAGTGGCAAGTGTTTGGTCTGAGGCCAGATTTGAACTCAGGTCCTCCTGACTTCAGGGCTGGTACCTAACCACTGCACCACCTAGCTGCCCCTATCATGATCATTTACAGATAGATACATGCCTTCTCCCCTTCACCCAATAAGCTCTTCATTGAAAGAGAGAAAAAAATTCAGCAAAACCATCTAACCCAGTGACAGTATCTAGCATGGTAGGTGGTATTCTGTACCGGCAGTCAAGTGACTCTCAATTGAAAAGATGGAGATGACTTTCCTGATCTGTTCTCTAGGACCAGTTTTAAAGATAGAGACCAAACTGGAGACCAAAGAAGTAGGGCAAGTTGTCTACTATCATGAAGAAAGTGGGCGGTAGAGCCAGCTAAAAGAACCCAGATTTCTAGACTACCAGAACAGTGATTTTCCTATGACATCAACATGCTTCCTCTGAGGAATTCTCCCTCCCCATACCTGGTAGCTTCCCACAGATAGTGAGAACTTCCTTCATCACCAGACAGTTCCTCACACAAGTCACTGCATCTCTAGATTCCTGGCATTTTCACTGGTTACTCCCCATGTCTGGAATATTCTCCCTCTTCATCTCCGCTCCTGTCTTTTCTGGCTTCCTTCAAGTCCCATCTAAAATTTCACCTTTGGTAAGAAGCCTTGTCCCCCTTAAATACTGATGTCACCCCCCTATTGATTACTCCTGATTCATCCCACATCTATCTTATTTGAACAGTTTTTTGCATGTTGTTTTCCCCGTTAAACTAGGAGCTCCCTGAGAGCAGAGACTGTACGTTTTTTGCTTTACTTTGAATCCCCAGTGCTTAGTAAGGTGTGTAGCACAGAGTAAGTGCTTAATAAATGTTTATTGCCTGATTGTTAGGACTTAACAGCAAGAACCTGCTCCAGAGAAGAAGCCACTCATATCTCTAAGGATTCTTCCATTTTAAATCAATGAGCCCAAGATCCACTGTAAGCCAGCACCTTATTATAGGTTCAGCCACTGTGTCTAATCACATCACCCAACAGAAGCTGGTTAGACCGGCTGGACATCAATGTTAGCCCAGCCTCTTCGACCCTTCGATGGATCCAAGATGTCATCACTGTGTAACTCCCTCTGCTGAAGCAGATTGAAACCCGACCACATCTTCTGCTGTGTCTCTCTATGTTTTCCCATAAAACCTTCATAGATGACTAATACTGTAATTATATACAATGTACCTAATATAGATTAATGTACATTGCAGCGGAAGATGAAAATAGTATAAATCAATAATACAGTAAAAGGCAGAATGATGTAGTAGGTAGAGGTCCAGCCACGGAGTCAGGAAGATCAGAGTTTATCTTGCATCTGATACACATACTAGCTGTGTGACACTAGCTGGATTGTAGCTAAATACTTAGCCTCTCAGTGACCTCCCTGGAAATGCTTTAACACTATTAATTACAAACAAGTTGCTGATTTGCATTGATGGAGAGAGTTTCTATGCTGAGAATAATTCTATATCCCACTGAAATCACAAGTTGGGATCTCTTTCTCTCTCCTCGTTTATCTCTTTCCCTTCTCCTTTCTATATCTATATATATCTACAAATCCATATCTTTCTATCTATTTATCTATCTATGGAGGGAGAAGCAATAGCTCATATTCAAATATGCTTTACAGTTACAAAGTTTTTTACATATATTAATCTCATTTAGTCCACACAAAAACCCTGGAAGGCAGGCTGTACAAGTATGATTATGCCCACTTGACAGATGAGGAAATGGAGGTTTAGCAAAATAACTTGCTCAAGACCACACAGTTAGTAATTATAAGGCTTTATCTGTGACTTAAAGCAAAGAATAACAGAGAGGCTTCCTAAAGGGATTCAACCCCACCCCCTATGGAGCCTAAGCAGGGAAGTCAAGCAAAGCCAGGATCTGAACTCAAGATAGCTTAGCTCCCTGCCTCATACTGCAGCAAAACACTCCCAACCCACAGAGTACCACAATCCAGTCCCATCACTTACATCAGGAGCTGCAGGGACCTCAGGCCAGGGAGGAGGTGAGTCAGTTTCTCAATGCCTTTGTTGCCCAAATGGTTGTTGGATAAGCTGGGAGGAGGTGGATGAATCAAAGGGAAAGTGGTTTTTTTTTTTTCTGAATAAAGACTTTTATATGGGAATAGAAGCAAAAGGTCAGGGAATTTCCCTTTGAACCAGTTCCTAAAGTTCGTCTCTGGGGAACATTGTTCATACTTAAATTCCATATCTTGATAGGTTCAATGTTTCTTAAGTTTGGGTCTGAATCTTGAAGAGAAAAGCTCAGCCTTCTGCCCACTTTTCTGCTTGGCTAGCCACCCTTGCCAATGGTCCATGGCCCATGGCCAACCCTTGCACAAGTAACACCACAGATATTGGGGAGACGCCAATGACTGGGGAAGGAGAGTGGGGGAAAGGTGCTGAGAAAATGCTCATCATTTCCCCTTCCTGACTAGCAGAGGAGTTTATTGATAGTAATCCATCACATCTGCCTAGCCCTCTTAATCCCCAAAATCATATGCAGAAACATTATCTTATTTGGTCTTAGGAAGTAGCCAGGGTTGGAATTATTATCTCCATTTAACAGTTGAAGAAACTGAGACTTTTTGAGGTTAAGTAACTTGTCTGATGTCAAACTGGGTACTAGCGGCATAGTTGGATTTAGTCTCTCATACTGAGACTATTCAGTTTTGGCAGTAGTCTGATAGGAGACTAAAGGGGACAGAGGCTTTGGCTGATCATGGATGGGGTAGCTGAGGCAAGATTTTATGGTATGGAGGGGAACCCCCTCAGGCCCTAGGTGAGCTGCCTTAGAATTAGGTGACTTAAAAAAAATCAGAGCTCCACGAGAAAGAGAGCCCAAAGGTACGTAGCAGCTTCTGCGCCTCAACTTAGCATGCCTGCCATTAGCACTATGACTCTTCCTGGCCGTGGAGAGGTTGTGGCCTGGCACAGATAAACATACTCACTCAAGAAGGCTGCAGCTGCCCAGCTCCCGACACAGCTTCTCAAGGTCCCTGGACTGAAAACTGCAGTGTCTCAGTCTGCACAGAACAGAGACAAAATAACTCCCCACTTTAAGAGACAAAGGGGAAAAGGGTGAAGCAATAGAGAGAGATCAAGAGAAAGATATAATGAGAGACATGGATATTCAGAGAGAGGTAGTCATAGAGAAAAATAATGAAAGAGAAACAAGGAGACAAGGAAATGAACCAGGGAGACAGGCACAGAGTACCTTAGGTTTTTTTTGAGGGAGGGGACTACCCCTAGTTTCTCTCTCCCAGTTTCCCCCTTTCTATTAAAAAAGAAAAAACAAAACCCTTATAACAAAACTCAAATACGAATAGTCCAGAAAACTAAGTCCCAAATCACAGAAGGTCCGGGGCAGAGCCAAGAGGTCTGGGACAAGGCACATGGATTCCAACCCTGTCCCTTGGGGTTCTGGTTTCCTCTCAGCAAACAGGAAGGCAATCCCCCCACCTCCCATATTTCCCTCTTCCATCAAAAGCAGTAGCAATGCTCTCCAGCCCTTCAGATACATACATGGTAGCAACGGACTGAACTGGTTCCATGTTCTGGGAAAGAAAACTGTAGAATGAATGATGGAATGGGGCCATACCTCTCAAGTTACCCAGAGTGACTGGGGAGGGAGCACCTATAGAGGCCAGCAAAGGTTGTGTTTGGCCTGGAAGTTAAGAGCAGAACCTTGCTCTGCGGACCATTTCAGAGTTAGCAGAGAGCACCCATGGCTTGGGCCCCAGACATAACTGGGAGTTTGACCATGACCCGAGTGGCATCCCTGCTGGAGGGATGTATCTGCTGCCACTGCCATTTCTCGGTGAAATTTTAAAAAGGAGCTGGATTTCGCTTCTGGCCAGTGACCCACCTGCCCCCTAGATTTGTTAAAACAAGGATAAATGATTAGAAACATCACATCCATCCAAAAGTCCTACCTGATCACCCTGGCAGAAGGGGATGGTGGTTCGGGGCTGTTCCTGGATAGCTGAGTATTTGAAACTGTAGCTCTAAAAGGACACACAGAAAATGAGCTACACAAACTCTTCAGTCTGGAATTCAAGGCCCTCCAGTTCCAAACTTCCTTTCCAGGCTTACCTCCTACTCTTTCCCTACACATATTACATGCCTCATCCAAATTGGGGTCTTTCCTATTCTCCAAACACACAAAGGATCTTTGCACAGAAGAGACTTTCTTCTTTTAGGAATCTCTGGTCATCTCCCTGTAGCCTCTCTCACAGTTTACTCCTCCTACCCCTTCTATTTTTGACTAGCAAAGGGATGCAACCCTAACTTGACTATGACTTGACAGACAATAGTGAGTTATGTCTAACCAGAGAAGTGGCCATATTTCTTTAGTGACTTCACTCTGAACAAAATGTGTGCCCCATGGCCAAGGTCAGGAGCTTCACATCTACTGTGGGGATTTCCAATATTTCTCTTTAAAAGCTGAGGTCAGGAAAACCACTCGCCTCACAGCTGCTGAGGGCTGTGGATGAAAGGATATGGCCAAGGCTGAACATGATTTTAGCCTCCTAGAAGGGCAACAGCACCCAGTCTCACTTGCTGAGCCCCCTCACATAGGGGGAGACCTCTGTTCTAGTAGTATGTAGCCCTGAATGATACAAAGGTAGACAAACATGAATGCGTGTACATACACACACACTTGCACACACACGCACAAACACATGTGTACACACACACACACACACACACACACACACACACACCTTAGTAGGCACCCTCTGATGCCATATGCCCTGTTCCAGGGATGGAAACAGGGACAGAGATGAACAGCTAGAGTGTACTCAAATATAAACAAATAAATAAAAAAGGAACAGCAGCAGTCTGATGCTGAAACATTTGGGCCATACCTGGGTTGGGCTTGATCTTTCTCCTGATCCCCAGAAATCTAAAGATGGCAGTTTTGTTCTTCAGGCTGAAAAAGAAAGGGAAGCAGATGAATGAGGGGATAGGAGACCCACCCAGTCACTGCCTTTCATAAAACCTCAGGATTGGCAGGGACCTGGAAGAATTATCTTAAGTCATTTCCCTGACTCCATCTAGGACTGCTAGTTTGCTTACAACAATCTAGGGTTCTTTTTTTTTTATTTAATTGTTTTGTTGCATTTTAAGTTCTGAACTGTTTCCCTCCCTCCCTCTTTACCCTGCGCTAGGAAAGGCCACCATTTCTCTCTGTCTCACACACACACACACACACACACATACACACACACACACACACACACGTAAAAAACAACAAATGGTAAAAACTGAATGTTATAATATTATAATGATCAAGCTTAGCACTAAAGAAGACATACAAAAAGACATCTTTCCCTGCTTCATTGCTAAGGTAGGGAATTATGTGTTTAGCATACTGCATTATGAAAACAATCTTTTCTAACATGTTGGTTAGTTCTCCTAGGTTTTTTTTATTTTTTGCTATAAGAGATAGCTCTCAGAGAGACTGATATAGCGGAAAATATGGATGATACGAAAACAAGAGACATCAATAACATGTATTTTTAAAAATAAATAAAAATTTTAAAAGATCTCATATGTATTTAGGCATTTCCTTTGGTTCAGCCCTCAGAAGTTAAGAGTTTCCCACTCTCCTCTGTATCCCAACCTTTTATGGATTAGATCTTCTCAGCGATGGGTCTCTCTGTCTTAACTATAAATAGTCACTGTTCATGGTCTGAAACAAATTTTGATAAGATGGGTTGTCCCTCTCTATAACCAAAGAGCTTCTAAAAAACCAGATTTTTGCAAATACAATCCTACTCTGAATGCCCAAGAGGAGCTGTGAAACATCATGTTCTAATTTATCTATTGTGTGAATTTAGATTTTCAAACACTTCATTGCATCTGCTTAAAGCAGGTTCTGTGTAGAAAGCTATGTGCTAAGAATAATGTGGGGCTTGTCCTGACACCAACGAGATGTCCCAAACAAATCCGTGTGGGGCCCAGAGACTGAGGGAGAAGAAGTTGAGCAGAATAACAAAGAAGACAGATGTGAAGTAAGAGGACCCGGATCATGGAGCTAGAGCTGGAAGAAAACTCAGAGGCTGCCTCATCTACCCCTGCCCTCATTTTACAGATGAGGAAAATAAAGCTCAAAGTGGTCTGCCAAAGGTCACCTGGGTAGCCAGTAACAAGTCCATTCTTTTCTGCTGGACCACATTGGTTTTGGGTTCAGCTCCAGGCTTTATTACTTGTCCCCTGTGTGGCCTTGGACAAATTTCCTCACCACTAAAATTCAAGGAGAGGAGTTGGATGAGATCATCTCTAAGGCACATTTTAACCATATTGGATGGGGTTGTCTGGTAGACCAGACCCTGTCCTGACAAAAGAGACTCCTGGCCATGGGTGGGATGGGGAAGGCTGGAGTAGTCTCCTTCAGTGGGCCCACATTACCTGATATCTAGCTCCACCACATTCTTGCAGGCGTTGGCTGAAGTCAGCAAGTAGTACACAGCAGACTCAGACAGCCCATTGTCACTGATGCTGCAAAAGAGAACACAGAAATGATCATCGACCCCTCTGCTGAAAGCACTTCTCAATTTACAGAGGCACAAATCAAGCTGGCCCAAGGAGATCATGCGCTCTTGTTATGTGAAGCTTGTGGCACTTTCTCTGGAAGTCCCCATTTGGTCAAGGGCTCCTAAAGGCTCTGGGCAAGCCCTCCCTCCCAACCCTAATCCCTATCTGTATTTACAGCCACCTAACAGAAAATGCTCCAGATTGGATTGTAAACTCCTCGATGGCAGGACCTGTGGCTCATTTTCCTTTGTATCACTGTACTGCAGAAAGCCCTGTAGCAGGTACTTAGAAAAATCACAGAATCGGAGTTTCAAGAGACCTCAGAAGCCCTCAAGTTCAATCTGCACCTGAGCAGTAATCCCTGTTACAGTGGATGGTTATCTAGCCTTCTCCTGAAGATCTCCAGTGGGAAACCCATTACCTCCTGAGGCAGCTCATTGTACTTTTGAATAACTCTAATTGTTAGGAATTTACACACACAGAGGCACAAATTACACATGCATACACACTTATACACATGGGTATATTTATACACAAACATGCATCTACGTGTACAGATATACACACATGCAGACGCATGTATATTTCTACACACATACGTACACATATCATCTATCAATCTATTTCTCTGCAAATTCTGCCCACCGCTTCTACTTCTTTTGTCTGGGACCAAGCAAAGCCAATCTAATTAATCCCTCTTCGATAGAGTCCATTCCAGTACTTGAGATCAGCTATCATGATCCCTCTAAACTTTCTCTTCTTCAGGCTAATAGCCCCCAATTCCTTTGATTGAACTTCCTATGGGATAATCTCCTGTCCCCTCAACACACACCTCTGGATGTGGTCTAGTTTTCTCAGTGTTGTCTTGAACTAGGCCCCCAACTTCAGATCCAGTCTGACCAGGGCAGAGAAGGTGGAGATGACTGCTCCTCTCATTCCGGATGCTATGTCTCTGTCTCTGTCTCTCTCTCTTTTTGTAAGGCAATCAGGGTTAATCCTAGGATCACACAACTAGTAAGTGTCAAGTGTTTGAGGCCACATTTGAACTCAGGTCCTCCTGACTCTATCCACTGAGCCACCTAGCTGCCCCTGCTATGTCTCTCAATTCAGGCTTGGATGCCAGGAGTTTCTGTAACTATCGTTTCACACTATCGACTCGTATTAAGCCTGCAGTTCAATGCAGCATTCAGATCTTCTTTTTCAGAACTGCAGTTTAGTTACACCTCCTTCAAATTGAATGTTTATTCATTGAATGAATGAACATTGAGGGGGCTTGGGTAGAGACAGTAAAAACAAGAGCTAGTATACATACACACACACATATACACACACATATATTGCTATAATATTTGCGAAGTTTTGTACAAATATTATCTCATTTGATCCTCACAATAACTCTGAGATATAGGTGTTATCATTCCCATTTTACAGATGAAGAAACTGAGGCAGGTAGAGGTCAAGTGACTTGTCTTAGCTCACACAGTTGGTAAGTGTCTAAGGCTAGACTGGAAGCAAAATGGAGGCAGTCTAGTGTAATAGAAAGAGCACTGGACTATGAGGGAAGATTACTGGATTCTAGCCTCAGTGTGGCTGTCAAATCTAGGTGATCTTAACATTTCTTTTCTTTTTTAAAATTATAAACTGGACAAATATTGGCAAACACGAATGTTTCACACGCACACACAAAGAACAGAAAAAGAGGACTTCATAGGAAGCTATTCATCTCCCCTGTGCTCCAATCGTTTGTTTTTTAAGTATTTCAAATTCAATGTATTAGTTCCAGCCCTGTCCTGTTTGGCTGTGTCCCCTTCTGAACTTTCTTCTGCTTTCTTCTGCAAATTGTGAAAGGGATTCTTTGAAGCCGTTTTTTTCTTTTTTTCTGGCATCAATATCACTTATACTTCCATGTCTTCCCTCAACTATTCTTGCCCCCAACAAAAGCCCTTCCTTGTAACCCTTGGGAAAGATCTTCTCTATGCCTCATTTTCCTCTTCTAAAAATGGAAGACTATATGATTTCTAATGGATTTTTTAGCTGTGACCCTAATCTAGGCTTGTCCATAGTTCTTCTGATGACTTTTAAGGTTATTTCAATGCCTGATGGCAGCTCTAACAAAAGGTAGGTTGAGGCAACAAGCAAAGAACAGACATTGTGAATTATATTTTTTAATTGTACACTCAGCTCCTGACCAAGGCTCATTGCAAGTGGCATGGTTCACTGCTATATTCTCAGCATTTTCTGCTCCCCATTACAGAATTTGGCCTGAGACCTACTTAAACTGTTTGGCGATCTGTAAATCAGGCAAGATCTCTGCTAGCTCCCAGCAGCCTTCATCTTCCAGCTGGTTTCCTGACAAACTGAGACACAGATAAGTGAGAAATGGTTAGTGCTTCCAACCTAGTATGTTCATCCACCCTGTAGCCACAACCTCTCTATCTGTCTCAGTAGCCCCAGGTAGAGGGGGGATGATTTACTCTCCACCTGGAATAGATGGGCTAAGTAGCACCCAGGCTCTGTCTGATTCCTGAGGAATTCTTACCCCTCTCTCCATGCCCTAGTCTAAAAAGGAAAGCAAGGATTTGGGCCAGAGCTAAATCATCTGGAAAGGTATTCCCTCTTTTGCCCCCAAACTGTACTTTCCCTGAGAAAAGAATGGGAGTCACGTCAGCGGTTGATCTAAACTCTACCGCTCCTGATATTACATGGGACTCCACCAATCCCAAAGAACTACTCCTAGTGGCCAATAACTCTCTCTTCCCACCCCAACCCCAATCTTCCCCAGAACACCAAACAAGTTGGGAATCTGTCTAGTTTTTGGGTGGGAGATTGTTCCACCTTGACTCAGGGAGAATGCTGATAAAGCAGAGAGTGAGACTAGGGCATTGTAGGTTGGAAAAGCAGGGAGAACTGCATTCTGCTCCTTCTTCTCCTCCCCTTCCCCTTCTGCTTCTCCTCTAGCTGAGAAATGTGCCTAATTTACTACTAATCTAAATCTCTAGATTCTCAGGTAAGATATTTTCAGGTAGCTGGGAACCAGGGTACCACCCACACACATCACCTGCTCAGACACAGTTGTTTCCTCAACCTATCCCCTGATCTAGATCAAAAACAGGGGCCCTGGAGCAACTGTGTCGCTAGGGCCACCCCTCTAATGTCACTCTCTAGTCCAGAGAATACCAAAGTGGGTGATACCATCCCCTGGAGAGGTACAGGAACAACCTGGAGGGGTGGTTGTAGCCTCGGGGTGCAATTGGGGGATACTGAATAAAAATAAGGGGGTGGTGGAAGCATAAGGAAAGAAAAGAAGATAATAAAATTTTGAAAAACTGTTCACACATGTTTCATCTGTTGCCTAATAGAGTTAAAGTTGTAGTGATTATATTATTTTCCAAATAAACACACAAAATGCAAGTTATAACCAATCAGTGGTCAAGTCCACCTATAGATTTTAACAAGCAAGTGTTGGCAGGCAAGCATGTCGTGAATTGTTGGGAAGTCCAGCATACATTGGCAGGAATGTGTGCATGTAATAACTTGTTCACAATACGATACCATACAGTTACATGACAATACTGCATCAGCAAAATTTCAATGCAGAAAAAACCCCATAAATTTATTTAAAAATTATTAAATTTAGGATGTGTCATTTTTTAAAAAACATTTTATATTTTTTTGGAAAAATTAAAGAGTTAAAGAAAGTAGATTTCCAGGGGGCACTGAGTAATTTTTTTTTATAGGGCAGTGGGTCAAATAAGTTTGGGAAACTTTGCTCTAGTGTATAGTACAATCTATAATGCAGAATGGATGCCTGGGGCCCTTCGAACCTGGGGATCCCAGGTCGGCTACCCCCTTTGCCATTATGGCAATCCACCTCTGCCTCTTCGCATCCTTCTGGTCTCTTCCTCCAACTTCCCAACCTCACTCAGCCATTTGGGGCCCATGGAGCAAGAACCAGAGCTGGGGGCTTGTACTCACTCTACTTCTTCCAGGCAGGGCCTGTGCTTGAGCATCTCAGCTATCTCCTTTGCATGGTGGACAGCAAGGTTGCATTTCTGAAGTCTGGCGATTTAGGGGGAGAGGTAAGGAAGGAAAGGGAAATAGATTGGTTAAATGTCCCACCAAGTCAGGTAGAGGTGACGTACCACTTATCTGAGAAAAATAAACCACATGAGAACTGGTTCCTCACTACTCATACCTTACTGATTCTGGGCAGCATTGTGCAGGACACCCTCTAATCCAAACACCACTCCTATGTGACTCCTCCCAGAGGTACCACCCTTCCCCTGTTTGGGAGATCATCTACTAAGACTATGTGCTAAGGTACGGAGGTGCTGAGATCTGCCTTTGTAAAAGGAATGGACATACTGATGAAATCACTGATACCTGAATTATCAATATTTTCAACTTTACCCTTCTTACCTGAATGTTAGCTTTCTGGCCTGAGTCATAACCTTCTTTAGGGGCTCATTTTCTTCACATTCTGGGATCTACAGAAAACAAATGCAAGATGCTAAAGAACAAACACCTTTAAATACTGCCTAGAGGCCAGAAAGCATTAAACAAAATAGTCCAGATCTGGACCCCAATCAGCCAACTTGCCAGGATATCAGGCACAAATAACCACAGTCATTTTAAAGCTTACATTGGTGACCTAGGGGGAAAATTAAAACATTTAAGTCTAATAAAGATAATGGTTAGGAGCTGCAGAAAGTGGCTGAAATGGATTTTCTAAGTATAGCAATAGTAATATTGCTGTTAATGCTACCAATAATAACTGTTTACATTTACATAGTTAATTATTATAAAGATGATGCTTGGTATTAAATTTGAAATAAAGAAGCTAAGTCATTCTGAAAGAAAGCTCACATCTAGGAAAAGTTTCTTTGAAGATTCTATAATGTATTTTGAGTAATTATGCAGTGAATAGCAGTTACCTGTTTCAATCTTTCAAGGGAAATAAGACAAAATGCATTGGGGATGAAGAAAATAGAAACCATCAGTACAATATCATGTTTCCAGTTGGAAGTGAAAAACTCCAGCTAAAGATTTAGAGCTGTCAGGGTCTGTAGAAAGCATCTGTTGAGACTGTAATATGTTAAAAAATATGACTACTTAGTGAAGGGACTGATTTACAAAAAAACAAACAAATCAGAATCTATCCATCCAAATGAGTGTTGTCCCCTTTCAAGCATTTCCTTGGGGTGGCCTTGCATTTATCCTAGTAAAGCTGACTGATCCTGCTCCAAACACCTCTTTAGGAACTGCTACATTCTATACATTTCTGTCCTTTATAAATCTCTTCACCAGTAAGCTAGTGCTCCTGTTTTGAGGTCAGATTTGATTTTTATATATAAGCCAAAACTCACTCAAAGATAATGCAGGTGAAGTAGGTGGTCATGCTCATAAATATTATTAGGTGCAAAAACTGTTTTGATTGAATGGAAGGGTGGGGATAAGGTGGGACTGGATAGGGGCCAGGCAAAGGGGGAACTGTCAGAATGGAAAGTCAATCACGAATTCATTCAATTGTTTTGCATTTGGCAGAATCTCTCAAATGTGTCAGAATTTCCAAATAATGAACCCGAGTGACTCTTAGACCTTACAAAATGAATCCTGCCTGAATAATGCCACAGACGCCAAAGAAACAAATTTGTAAGATCTTCACATGTAATTTTGACATGCAAATTTCCTTGGGTCTTGAGATCCCAGGTTCAAATCTCAGATTTCCTCCTCACCTTCACTGTGATACTGGGTAAATTATTTAACTTCTGTGAGCCTCAGTTTTCTTACTTGTAAAAGGAGGAAACTGAACCAGATGATCTCTAACCCTGACAGCTCTAAATCTTTAGCTGGAGTTTTTCACTGCCAACTGGAAACATGATATTATACTGATGGTTTCTATTTTCTTCATCCCCAATGCTATTTTGTCTTATTTCCTTGAAAGATTGAAACAGGTAACTGCTATTCATTGCATAATTACTCAAAATACATTATAGAATCTTCAAAGAAACTTTTCCTAGATGTGAGCTTTCTTTCAGAATGACTTAGCTTCTTTATTTCAAATTTAACACCAACCATCATCCTCATAACTAACTTCCTACTTGAAAAAAACAACAACCACACCCCTGGCTTTTTCATCATCTTCATCACTCCCAGAGGATTCATTGCTTCATGCATGATTGCAGTCAATTTCTCCACCTGCTTTCACCCTTTTGTGTCAGTTAGAAACAATCTCATTCTTGACACAACAGCATCAGCCCCACAAGCTTCTGTTAACATGTTCAGCACCTCACTTTCTGATCTCATATCACATATCATTACTTCTCTGCCCTCAATTGCAGTCAATCATACACCTCTAGAGGAGACCACACAACCACGGTTAGACGAGGCAAACCACAAGCTTATGTTGGCTGAGCTCAACTGGCCTGTCCTTCCCTGTTTTACTCCATCATCCTCAACACAAATCTTCTGCCTTCTCCCTGTTGGCAGATGACTGTGTGCCTTCTACTTTACTGAGAAAACTGAGGTCCTTCATTGTAAGCTCCTTCTTCATAAAGGCATATTTCCTTCCTTTCCCTTTCCCTCAAGGACCAACCACCTTGGAATGTACAGTTTTGCTACGGTCACTTCATGCAGTCAATAGGAGATTATTGGGTGTCAGACTCTTGTGTTAAGAAGATTAAGAAGGTCCCTGCCCTCAGGGAACTTATAGTAAAGTAGAGGGAACAAAACAAGTGTGTCACTAATTAGGAGACATGATAAATACCAGAAGAACCACAAATGAAAAAAGAAAAGGCTTGCAAGTTGAAATGCACTGCAATCTTTCTCTGGTTCTGACAAATTCCCCTTCACAAAAAGTCCCATCAGAAGTGGAAGAGAAGTAATCTCATAAATTTCTCTTATTTCCCAAGTGAGAAAATGGGGTCAAGGAGGTTAAATGGTGGAACCGACGCCCCACAGCTCCTCCAGGGAGGCCTCAGGGCCTCCCCAGCTCATTGCAGAACTAAGATTTCTTCCAAGTTTGCTCTTTCAATAGCTTCAGGTTTTCCAAATGGGTTTAGCTTTATAATCTTTCCTCAACCAAAGTTTTATCCCAGCTCACATCCAATTCCAAGGTATAATCAACCTTTGCTAATTTAGAATAGTTAGAGAAAGCCTGAATTAGTGAAAAATTTGAATCAGAATGTTTTTCAAAGAAATGCACTTTTATTACTTTTCAACCTAGATTAGTTTGAAACATGCTCTTACCAGCTAACAGTTTTATCAAGGGGAGATACTGTTAGTTGATTTAATGAAATATATAAGGGGCACTTGTAATTAATGCATTAGTTAAAATAGGCTATAGATTCTCCTTAATCTGGTTCAACTCTCTCATTTTACAGTTGAGGAAACTGAGGTACAGAGGGGAAGTGAATTCTCTAGGGTGACATGAGGGGATAGCACAGCCAGGATTTGAATTTGGGTCTTCTGACCTTAGATCCAGTGCCCTTCCATATACCACAAAACTATTTTGCATGGTTTTCCCAAAGTACACAGACTGCCTCTTTGAGACTAATTGAGGCCTGCAGTCACCTGGAAAAGGGATGTCAGAATTACCCATGCCCTCTTCTTACCGAGGCATTTCCAGAGTCTTTCCTGAGGATACAAAGAAGAGAATGATGATCTGTGCCTGCCTGTGAAGAGGAAATAAGAGGGGAAGAATAAAATCTGGGTTAGGCTGACAATCCATAAGCACATAGTAGTAATAATGATAATGATAATAGTTAACATCTACATAATGCTACTACACTTCAGGTACCCTGCTATGTGCTTTACAATTATAATCTCATTTGATCCTCACAATGGAGGTGGTAGGTGCTATTATTATCCCCATTTTACAGATGAGGAAACTGAAACAGAGGTTAAGTGATTTGCCTAGGGTCACACAACTAGGAAGTGTCTGAGGCCAAATCTGAACTCAGGTCTTTCTGACTCCAAGCCAGACACTCTAGATGCACTGCACCACCCGAGCTGGTATGAAGGAATGCCTCATGGTGTGCCGAACCTTATCATCCCTGAGGTCCAAAGCCCAAGCATATGAAACTCAAGGAGCCACACATCCCATCATCAGAGATCACTGGCCGCCTGCTCTCTCTCTCACCTCCACCCTCTGGCCCTCTAACTTCTCCCTAGCCCTTGAACCTCAACCTCTGAAGGTGGTCTCTGGTTGAGACTACATGGCTCACCTAATCTCCAAGGTGGTGACTCTGGGGTAAGAAACCGCTTCCCTCGCCAAGGCAAGGATTGTCGAGACAGAAACCGCATTTCTGCTTAAGCTGTGGGTTTGAGGCAGAAAATCAAGATGTCAGAATGGAAGCTCTGCCCAGCCCAAACTTCCCAGTATCACTTCTTCCTCCCAACTCTGCTCCCACCTTCCCACTCCTTAATACATTAATTGTCTTATGCAAACTCTGCATGCCTCCTTCTCTGCAGTCTCCAAGCCTCACCCTTGACCCGAGATACTTTTGCCTGGACCCTGCCCCTGAGCTCTACCCCTGAGGCTTGGCCAAGAGGAGCCAGAGAGCCCAGAGAGGTCCCCCAACCCAGGGCCTGCCCCACTGAGTCCAGAATCCTGCCTTGGGATTCAATGATAAATCCTACTGTTTCCTGACACCTCCTTGGGGATCAGATTCTCCTCTACTCCCGCATTTTACCAGAATGGATTCTAGATGACTTCAGGTACTTGTGGTTGGTGGTGGGGAGCACAGAGAGACTGGGACAAACTGCTTAAGATCAGCTTTGTCTACTTTGGCCCAAAATGAGTGATGGTAGCTACTTACTCAATTTTCTGTAACTGCTGCATCTTGTGGAGTATCTCAATGATCTTTAAACATGAAGAATCATTCAATCTGTTGTCCTGCAAACTGAAACATGACACATGTCACTACCTGGGGACTGTCTGACTCTGGGATTCTCCTTACTGAGTATATCTCAGAGCACTCTGCCAAGCTCAAAGGTGGCAGGCAAGTACCACGACTCTCTCCAATATCGGACAGAAGGCCCAGAGAGTTCCAGTGATTTGCCCACCCAGCAGGCAAGGCAGAGGTGGTGATTCCTCCCTCTCTCTTCTGGGCTTTGCTTTTCTCTCTGCCAGTTGCATTTGACTCAGCATTCTCCCCTTTTTTCAGGCTCAGCGGAACAGTTTTCACCAAAGGGCTGCTTAGCTCATTCCTCAGGAGCCTCACAGCTGGTCTATAGGGTAACAGTGCCCGAATATTAAGTTCTAGACTTCTCCATAGCTTAAATTGGGTAGGATCACTGAGCACCAGGGATCTGTCTAGTGGCTACGTGAGGCAGGGCTAGAAAGGCAACGTGACATAGGGGGCTGGGGTTCTAGTCTGAACATTCACTAACCAGCTCTGGGACTCAGAGCCAGTGACTTCTCACTAAGCCTCAGTCTTTTCTTCTGTTAAGGAGAAGCCATAACTCCTTCCCCAATTGCTTTGAAGTACTGTTGTGATAATCAAATGAGATATGGACGCAAAAGCACTTTGAAAAGTCCAAAGCTCCATTTCCTATGTAAGTTATGGTCATTATTATGCTTCCTAAGCCATCATTTTCCAAATTGTTAAAAAATTTGAAACACACCTATAAACTTGTACAAACCACACTGGTGGGACCTTATAATAACAATAGCTTATATTTATTAAGTGCTTACTATATGCCAGGCACTCTGCTGGGGATACAAACAGAGGCAAAAGGCAGTCCCTGTCCTCACAGAGTCAGAATCTAATGGGGACTCCACTCAACAGGCAAACACTTATGTACCCCAAAAAGCTATGTACAGGATAAATGGGAATTAATTCAAGGAGAGAAAGCACTAGAATTAAGAGGGGTTAGGAAAGGCTTCCCACAGAAGGTGGGGTTTTATCTGGGATTTAAAGGAAGCCAGGGAAGTCAGCAGTTGGAGTGAGGAGGAAGAATGTTCCAGGAATGGGGGACAGCCAGAGAAGATGCAGAGAGCAGAGAGATGGAGTGTATTGTCTACAGAACAACCAGGATGTCAGTGTCTGGATCGAAGAGTACATGGTGGGGGAAAAGGTATAAGAAGACTAAAAAGGTAGGAGGCGCCTAGCTGGTGAAGGGCTTTGAATGCCAAACAGAGGATTTAGGGTTACAGAGCACCTCACACATGGAGCCCTGGTCCCTCTCACTGACTTCGTTGTCCTTTTAAGAGAGAGGGAACAGGGGCAGCTAGGTGGCGCAGTAGATAGAGCACCGGCCCTGAAGTCAGGAGGATCTGAGTTCAAATCCAGCCTCAGACCAAACATGACACTTAACTAGCTGTGTGATCCTGGGCAAGTCACTTAACCCCAATTGCCTAAAAATAAAAAAAAGAAAAGAAAAAAAAGAGAGAGGGAACAGAAACTTAGGAACTCACAGCTAACTGTTATCTGTGGAGGCCCTGACAGAAAGCTAAGAGAACTTCTTTCCTGAGGAGACTAGGCCAGTTAGCTACCCTTGAAGAATGAGTGTGTGCAAGATGACAAGAGTTAACTGTCATTGTTGAGAGAGTCTGAAGAAACAATTTTAGAACTTAGTTTAACTCTTATTCTGTGGAGGCCACTTTCTGAGAGAGCTAAACCGCCATCCTGAGAGAAACAGATTGTGGAACTGTGGTTTCATAGCTGAGGATTCAGCAGCGAGGGAGAAATGCCTGGCTGTGACTGGTGATCCATCTCAGAGCTTACATATTGCTGAAACATTTCTCTAATTCTTTGCATTATTTCTTCTTCTTATGTTAATAAATTATGTGGCCAGTAAAATCAATTGTTGTCTAAACCTATGAAACTGGGATTTGGTACTGAAAGGAGGAAAAAGCTTATGGGGAAAGGTTTCTCTGATTTTTATGAACCAGAGGCTTAGGGCTAATTAATTAATTATTGAGATGGTTTCTTTATTGTGAGAATTTATGAATAAATTTCAGAATTTACCCTCTTCATTGTCTGAACCTGATGAAAGAAAGAATAAAGTAACAAGTCGGAAGAAAGAATGGTGATTTGATGTGTGTATACTTGAGAGCACCCAAGGGGTGTTCTCACTTCGGGCCACCCACCCATAGCCTCACCCATGGGACTGCTATAGTTATCTTCACATCCTCACAATAGCTCTGTGAGGTAGTTAATTTATTATATTTATATAATAAATTTATATTGCTCAGGGTCACATAGCTTGTTAGTGTCTGAGCTAGTATTCAAATTTAGTTCTTCAACCATACCACCTACTTCATGTTTGAGAGCAAAGGACAAACAACTTCATGTATTCTTTCTGTCATCATGTTCAGCTACCTGTATATCTACACCTCTCCAATCCCAAGCATATAATATGTATATGCATGTATGTATAAACAATGTCCTTTCCACCACAGTCCCCACCCCCTTCACCTCCTGATTCAAGTTGGCCAGGGGAAGGAGGAAGCCCAAGCTATCCTGATGTACATGCCTCAGTGGTCCAACAGCCTGCCATAAGATCAAGGCCAAAAAAGAAAAATCTTCCCCCTCTTCCATGGGCCTCACTGCCCTTTGGGATCCAGTCTTATTACTCTTGACACCATGACACTCCCCTTTCAGGATTACACTACTTTGACAGGGAAGAAGCATCCTGGGCCAGCCAGTAGGGGGTGGAGAGGATTTAGGACAATTTCATTCATCTCCAAAGTCCTGGATTGGGTTAATATCATCCCATTGACCCATACTCACTTAATCTCTTCCAGCTGAAGACAGTCTGTAAACGCTTGTGCCAGGTGGCCAATGCCTTGAACTGAGATGTTATTTCCAGTCAACCTACAGAAGTACAGACACAGACCTCAGGTGGGGACTGAGAGAATGAATCTTGACTGAACACCAGGATAGGACTTATCCACAGGCCAAAGAGGTCTGTGCTGGAGAGGAGTAACCTAATGTGTGTGCTTCATCCCCAGGGAAGCAGGGAGCAGCTTTGGATTAATCTCCTGGGTACCATGCCCCATGGCCTGTTCAGGGACAGGCCTGGCCAGCTGGAGGAGTGTGTCATATGCTATCAGAAGCCAGATGGGCTCTAAGAAAAGAGCTTACTCAAGTTTCTTCAGATTTTCCATTGTTGGCAATATCCTGGAGAGGGCTTCTGCAAAAGCATCTCTGCACTTCCTGCTTCTAACCCTAGAGGATGCAGAAAAGAGAAAGTGGGAAAGGGTTTAAAAGATTGAAATGATATAGCTTAAATATAAATTAAATGTATTAAATATAAATTAAAATTATATAGATCAAAATTACATAAAATTATTGAATCAGAGGATTCACCAAGAGGAAAATCTTGAGGTCATCTAGTCCAACCCCCTTTTTGTGCAGATGAAGAAACTGAGACACTGGAGATTGAGAGACTTGCCTGAGGTCACATGTGTATTAAGCACCAGAGATGTTATTTAGTTCCAGGCCCTCTTATTCCGAAGGCAGTATCTTTGTACTGTACCACTGTACCACACCAATGCTTAATATTAATTTACATTTCTAATGGGATACTATTGTTACATAAGAAATGATGAGCAGGAAGACTTCAGAAATGCCTGGAAAGGGAGACATGAAGTGAGGAGAACCTGGAAAACATTGTACACAGCAACAGCAACATTGGGCGGTGACCAACTTTGATAGACTTAGCTCAACTCAGCAATGCAATGATCTGAGACAATTCCAAAAGACTTTTGATGGAAAATGCTATCCACATCCAGAGAAAGAACTATGGAGTCTGAATGCAGATTGAAGAAGACTATTTTCTCTTTCTCTTTTTTTTTCTTTCTCATGGTTTTCCCCTTTTGTTCTGATTCTTCTTTCACGACATGACTAATGTGGAAATATGTTTAATATGTTTGTACTTGTGTAACCCATATCAGATTGCATGCCATCTTGGGAAGGGAGGAAGGGAGGGTGAAAATTCAGAACTTAAAATCTTATAAAATTGAATTCTGAAAACTAAAAATAAATTGAAAAATATTAATTTACATTTCTGTCATTTTATGGTTCACAACTTGCCCAAAGTGAATAAGAGCTGAGACCAGAACCCAGCTTCTCTGACTTCCAGCCTAGAGCTTTTTCTACCATACCACACTGGAACTAGATTCCTGAGCCCACAGGGCTCATTGTCTTCATTTGACATATTAGGAAAATAAGTCTTTGAGAAGTTTAGTGATGAGGCCCAAGGTTACTAAGAAAATTAGGTACACCCAGGGACCCCTCTGCTAGGCACACACCCCAAAAAAATCAAAGACAGTGTCCCTATATATACAAAAAAAAATCATAGTAGCACTTTTTTTTTTGTCATTGGTCAGTGGTGTCTGGCTCTTCATGACCCCATGTGGGATTTTCTTGGCAAAGATACCAAAATGATTTGCCATTTTCTTCTCCAGTTCATTTTACAGATGAGGAAACTAAGGCCAACAGGGTTGGGTGACTTGCCTAGGGTCATGCAGATAGTAAGTGTCTGGGGCTAGATTTGAACTCAGGTCTTCTCGGATGGTACTCTGGCCACTGCACCACCTAGCTGCCCCACTAGCCTTTAGTAGCAAAGAATTTGAATGAAAGAGGGTATCCATTGGTTAAAGAATGACTGAACAAACTAGTATGTGAATGTCCTCTAATACTGTGTAGTAAGAAATAAAGTCTATGAGAAAAAAAAAAGAAAAGAAAATTAGGTACAAAGTTAGGGATTCCCACGTTCCATACTTGTGGCCAAGAGTCCACATATTTAAAGTGTCTAGCTAGGGTTAGGGATGATGCCTGTTAATACAGAACTGAGAAATTAACTTCCCCATAGTGATGGAACTCATGGCCATGGCCTTGTTAATACCACCCCACTGCAATGACCATCTTTATCTGAGCACTCAGTCTCACAAAGGCCACATCTCCCATAATACTATATATTATCATAGTACTATGTTTTATCTCTATCTCTTACTCACCTGAGACTTTCAATTTTCTCACAGCCAGCTAGGGCATCAAGGCACTGTGGCTCCAAAGAGCAGCCAGAAAAATTGAGATGCATAGAAGCAGGAGCATGGTTGATGAGAGAGGTCAGGGCAGCCAAATCGGTGCAGTTCAGGGGGAAATTACGGAAGTCCAGACTGAAAGGAAGGTGCCTGCCAGCCTGCTTAACCAGCTCAGCATCCTGGGTCTCCCCAACACAGTGGCACAGCTCTATCATCTTGGGTCCTGTTAGGTTTCGGGCTGCCAGCCCCTGTAACACTTGCCGGATGGCTGCCTGCTTGGTACCCACCCAGGCTTCATCCTGTTGCGACAACTGACTCAGGAAGGACTGGCAGGTCTGGGAGGAGAAGCCTGACAAAAAGGTATGGAAGCGATCCAGAAGTTCTGTCCTGGCTTCGGTCCTCAGGGGCCATTTGGACTTGAGAAAGAAGTGGCAGCCCACATCATCCTTATCTATGTTGGGGCTCACCATCAGATACAGGGCTGCAAAGAACTCCTGTAGGCTGAGGTGGACAAAGGCATAGCATGTCTTCTGCTGCTGGATTCCTGTCTTTACCCTGAAGGAGGACAGTAGGTTGTGGGTAGCTGCAAAGGCCACTACCCGTTCAGGTATATTACCTGGGTAGAATACTGTTTGCTTGGCCTTTAGCCCATTGAAGGCTAGTTCACCAAGGCCCAGAAGAGCCTGGGAGTTCTTGCTCAGCCAGGTGTCCTTGTCCTCAGAGGCCCCCTGCTTCCGGCTGATGAAGACATGGAGCATCTGCATATAGACCTGGGTGACTGTTGAGGGGAAGTCAATGGTATTGCCCTGGGGCAGGAGGTGATAGAGACAGATGCAGATGATACAACACAGAGCTGGGACAGAGCACAGGCTCTGGAGCTGGGTATTGTCCCTGAGTTGGGAGAGGGCCATATCCCGAAAGGTCAGTCCATGGAAGAAGTTGCTGACATACTTCTCGATCTGCAGCCATTCAAACCCCCAGACCTCAAACACTGATGTAGCTGTTTCCAGTAAGAAGTCTGGGATCTTCCCAGGGCGTGAGGTGGTCACCACCCAGCATCCTGGCAAGAGGGTTCCACTACAGAGGCTAGAGAACAGTGTGGCGACAGGCAGAGGTAGGGTAGGATTCAGGGAGTCCTCACCACAGGGCCCCTGACTGGGCCAGGGGAAGAGGAACTCATCCAGCCCATCGAAGACCAGCAGAACTCGCTGGGCATTCTCCTGAAGATGCTGGAAGATGGCATCAGGCTCATCCTCTGGGCTCAGGTATAACTCAAAGAGGAGCTGGGGAAGGGTCAGCTCCTGGCTCACTAGGTTAAGCTGGCGGAATTCAAAGAGGAAGACCTTGCTGAACTGGTCCAGCTCTCTGTTTGCCCACTTCTGGCAGATTCGATGCATCAGCATGCTCTTCCCTGCCCCTGGCTTCCCAAGCACGACTGTCACCTTGGTGCCTGCACCCGACTGGCCCTTGAATAGGTCCTGGACCTTCAAATCAGCCCCATCTTCTACCTCAAGAGGTCCTGACAGAGCATCGCCCCGTGGTTTCTCTGGATTCTCCTTCAGCCAGGTTACCTTGCCCCGATGCACAACTAGGTCCACGTACGTCTGGCTGAAGGAGAATGGCCGTCCTTTCTGGGGCACGGTGGTTCTTACTTGTGTACTCCCATACCTCTGCAGGACCAAGGTCCTCAGGAGCTTCTCATACCTTCTGACCGACTCTGCATGAGATTCAGGGTTGGGGAAGCAGGGGAATTGATGAGTTTCAGTTTCCCCTACAGTCTTTCCCTCCCCCTGAAAATGTAACTTGTGATTCTGCCACTAGATACAGTGGGGGAAGAGTGGTACAAGGAAAATTAACGACTCAACTTCTCTTCCTATTGGCTTGTGGGGAACTACAGAATTTGAGAGTTGGAAAGAACTTCAGCAGCCATCTGGTATAATTCATGCCCCAAAATAAACCCCATAACAATCTGACAACTGGTCACTGAGCCTCTACTAAAATACCTCCAGTGATGGCCGGCCATGTTGCCCCTTTGAGATTTCCACTCATTGCTCCTGGTTTTGCACTCTCCCATCTCAGTTGGGGTGCCCCTAGGCAGGAGTGCCCTGAAGCCAGCTCTAATCAGCTCAAGAGAGCCAACTGTTAAATTTTTAGTCTGAACATTTACACCTTGGAATTTTGCAAATTCTACAAATCAGGGTTTATTGTTTTGTTGAATGTACAGACTTAAGAAAATGATTGAGAAAATGTTAATAATGCAATTAAACTTTTAAATTTATGCCACTTTTTTTCCCCTAGAGATCAGGCTGTTAAATACCTACCAGCATATCACTGCCCTAGGGCCATCCCAACTTCTCTTTCCCCACAACCCATAACAGGAAGGGGCTCTGGCCTTTAGTGGGGACCAGACCCAGACCTTATTACCAGCAAGACCACTGTGTTTGCAGCATATGAGATTAGGGGGGTGGTTTGGGAAGAGAGGAAAACACCTTTTAAAGCAGCGTGTCATAAAGCCAGTTACTCGATGAATTAAGTTAAGTCCTTAGTACCTCAAGTCCTTATCTAAGCCTGCTCTGGAGCGTTCTTTCTAGAACAGGAGGGAATTAGGGAATAGAGAGGCTCTGGGGAAGAGACAAAATTTCAGTACTTGCCCCAGAGGACTTCTCCACCACCCAAGGCTATGTTTGAAAGAGAAAAGTATATTCCCCATTGTTTGGAATCTTTCTGAGAATAATGCTTGGGTCACTGTTCAATGTCTGGGAGCTGGCCAGTGAATACATGCCTCAGATAAGTTCCTTTGGTAGATGAGCAGGGCCCTGGTACGGTCTGGGGTCTCTAGTTTGTCCTCCCTCTTCGTTATCCACCCTCCCACACACACATACATACATAGTAGCTAACAGAGCTGAGTTACCTAGCTGCTGCTGCCTGGAACATTTTCGACGAGGTGAGGAGCCTATCTCTGAGGAGGGTCGCTTGAAGCCTAGGAGAGAAGGTGATGGAGGGTTGAGATGCAAGCCATGAACTTGGAGCTACAAAGAATCTCATGAGCATCCCTTTGAACAGCCCCTACCTCCTGGGTGCAGGGGAGGGAAAGGAGGCAGGGAGAGGGAGGAGGCAAGGAAAGAAAGCTTCCAAACAAAAGAATGCAGATTGGAATGCTACAAGAAACCAGGTAAAGGGCCAGAAAACAGCAAAATCTACTCTTCTCTTGCTTTTGGGCTTGTCTACAGGAAGTGAGGTCTGGGTTGGGGGGTGGGAGGTAGCCCAGTGTATCTGTGGTAGGCAGCATGACACAGTGGGACAATATGAACAAAGGACTTGCATGTCTGACAGGCTGGCAGCCCCCACAGACTACAGGTGTTGTTTCTGCATGACCTTCCCAGACCCACAAAGGGCAGAGCCAGTAGGCAGAAGGATGGGGACTGTCACACTGTTTCCCCAACTCCTGCAGTCAGGAAAGGTTACAGTCTCATTGATCTCTCTCTCCAAGTCTCTCATAGAGTTACATAAAGTTCAGAGCAAGGAAGGAATATCAGAGGCCACTTGTCTAAGTTCTAAATGAGCAAGAATCCTTTAACATGTGATCATTCAGCCTTTGCTTGAAGACTTCCAGTGGGGGGGAAATTACTAAGGCCCGGGGCAGACTGTTTTACTTTTAAACAACCTAATAGGAAGTTTTTCCTTATATCAGGCCTAAATCTGCCTCTTAAAAGCAGCTAGTCAGGGGTGGGGAACCTGTGGATTCCAGTCTCAGTCAGAGGGCTGCACTTGAGGACCTAGAGGGCCACATGTGGCCTCGAGGCCGAAGGTTCCCCATCCCTGAACTAGGTGGTTCAATGGAGAGAACACTGGGCCTGGAATCAGGAAGACCTGAGTTCAAATTTGAACTCAGACATTTACTAGCTGTGTGATCCTGGACAAATCAGTTAACTTCTGTTGCCTCAGTTTCCTCAACTATAAAATGGGGATGATAATAGCACCCACCTCCCAGAGTTGTTGTGAGACAAATGAGATAATTTTGTAAAGCACTTGGCACAGGGCCTGGCATATAGTAGATGCTTAATAAATGCATATTTCCTTCCTTCCCAGTGTTCAAGCCTGTCAATATCTCTTTTTGGTCATGATTCTGAATCCTGACTGTCATCCAGTGTAGGAGCTATCCCTCCCTGTAGATGTCATCTACCCTCCAGGCCAGGGCTCTGAGGAACAGATGGAGAAGCCAAGCATATGATCTAAACATCTTATTTTCTTTTAATAATCCCTAAAGAAACTCCCTATTTCTGCTCTCTACAGCTAAGCAGAACAAATTTAATTCCTCTTCCATATAGTTCAGTTCGGTTGTTGTTCAGTCATGTCCTATTCTTCATGACCTCATTTGGGGTTTTCTTGGCAAAGATACTGGAGTGGTTTGTCATTTCCTTCTCCAGCTCATTTTACAGGTGAGGAAACTGAGGCAAACAGTGGTAAGTGACTTGCCCAGGAACTAGGAAAACAATACACACAGTGACTGTAACAATGTGGTAAATGACTTGCCCAGGAACTAGGAAAACAATATACACAGTGATTGTAACAATGTAGATGGAAAGGAAAACCACAAACCAATCAAAACTGAATGCTGAGAAAATAAAAGGCACAGGCTTTGTCTTCCAAGAAAAGATATTAGAAGACATTTCCCCTCATTTTTTTGCAGAGGTGGGGGTTTATAAGGTGTGAAACACTGCATATAACATCATATTTTTTTTTTCAATGTGTTTTGTGGCTTTGCTGAATTGTTTTCTTATTCCTTTTTTTTTTTTAAACCTTTGCCAGAGGGAATGATTATCTGGAAGGGGACAGAAGGAAAAATACAAGTGAAAATGTAAGCAATGTGAAAACAAGAGATACCATAAATATATATTTTTTAAAAATACCAACTCAACCTGCTAACCTGGTTTAGCAACTATTTATATTTTAATGAATTCCAATACATGAAGTATCATAATAATTTTTCTGGCACTCCCTCTAAATTCCCATCAGGTCTCTTTGTTAATCATTCATTCTCATTAGTGCTTCTTCTTGTTGCTATGGCCCCAGTTCAGCTTTTTTTTTCTTACTCATTTTTAAAAAAATTACCCATGATTTCTTAAAGGACTTCCAAGATTTTTCTTTTAATTTTTTATACTTAATTGCTTATGTCTTAACTGTATTTTAATATTCTGTTACATTCACATACCACAGTTTACTTAGCCATTCCCCTACTGTTGGGCATTTAGGTGGCATCTAGGTTTTTGTAATTACATGTTATGCTGCTATGAAAACAGTTTGAACAAATAGCTCTTTTTTTTTGTTGTTGTTGTTGTTTTTTCAGATAACACTTTCAGGGCATATTCTCAACCATGGTATTATTTAGTTACAGTGGATATTTAGAACTCAGGTGTTGACCTTTACAATTATTCTTATTAAATTTCATCTTTTAGAGTAGGATCACTGATTAGAACATTTTAATTAGTCAAATACATTTTTAAAAAATCCTTTGAGATGAAATCAATGGACTTGATTATAAAGAAAAAATGATTTTTTACAACATAAAGCAATGGCTTTAAAATTCAAAAAAAATAAACGGACTGAGGAAGTATTTGAAGTACTCAATAAATATCAGGCTTTTCAGATAAAGGCCTGACGTTCAAAATCTCTATGGAACTGATACCTCCTATCAGTCTAATATAATAATACATACTGCCCAATGGAACAATGATCAAAGGATATAAACAGGTAATCTATGAAAGAAGAAATATAAAGGGTTAATATTCACATGAAAAGATTTAAGCTTCCTAATAATTAGAAAAATACAAATCAAGACAACCTTAAGATGTCACCTTATATCCACAGGAATGGCAAAAATAATAAGTTCAGTGAGTTGACAGGGTGGGGAAATAAGGACTCAAATATATCATCGATGGAACTGCAGACTGGTGCAAACCTCTTGGGGAACATTATGACAATATGCAGAAAGAACGTTTTCTATTCTATCACGAGGACTCTATCCCCAAAACATCATTAAAAAGAAAAAAAGGACCTATCAAATACAAAAATATTCACAGATGCTCTAGCTATAATAGCAAAAAAAATCAGAAGTGGAGAATGACTAAATAAGTTACAGTATAGTCATGTAATAGAAGATCATTAAAAAGGATAAATATGAATATATAAGAAATAACCATATGAGGCGATACAGAGTTAAATCAGCAGAACAGAACTATATAAACACTAGCTACAACTACATACTTATTTTTAAAGTGTTGGAAAAGAAGAAAAGAAAGAAGGGAAACAGGGCCAACATTAGTAGAATTTCTTATAGGTATAGAAAGAGAAGCAAAACAAACATTTGCTTGTTAGTCGTTTGTTAATTCTTTTGGTTCTGCCTTGTTAGAGACCAGAGGATTTGGGTAAGATGTTGCCCATTGTTCACATGCTTTTTGGATTGTTTTTGTTGATTATTAAGTTTATGGTTTAATTTTTAAAAAAAAAGACTAGGACTATTGCTCTAGTTTGTCGAGATTGACTTAGCTCCCATTTCTCTCATGTAACATGTTACTAGTTCTTCTTATTTCTATAGCATTCCCCTAATCTATCAGTTATGTGACCTTGGGAAAGACCAGCTTGGTTCAGAAGGAAATAAGGTTGGTCTGGCTCATTCTTGATGAACCCATGCTCACTCTCAAGAGTAGTTCAGCTCGGTATTTATAACTGATTAGTAACTATTTCCATTTAAATTAAGTAATTCAACAAATCAAGTCTCATAACTTTTCAATCACTCCCTCTAAGTCCTCATTAGGACTCTCTGGCCATTCATTCTCAGTTGGTCAACTGTAATTCAGTTGCTGGCTGATGATCAGTGAGCCCATCAGTTGACCCATCAATCATCTAGGAAGTCAGCTGCCCAATGAAAAAGTTATTCAGATGACTAATCTTTAATCAATGGGCTAACCCAAGTCAGCATTTGAGAAGGCTGTCCAGTCCAGCTACTATGTTTGTATCCAAGTTTCTCAAAAGGACAACTTCCCCTGATCTAGGGTGCAGGCAAAGGGCCCTGAGGTTTAGTGACTGAAAAATGAAAACGAATTTCTCCAAGTAAAACCAGACAGGGAAATTCTGGAGGAATTGTGGGCTAAGGGAGATAGTTTCAAGCCCAGCAGATCCTCCCCTTATGTGCCCTGAGAAAATGCTGCGCTCTCTCAGATTTCCCAGAAATCTCTACATCCATGCCAGAGGACTGGCCTGTGCATCCCGGGCCTGTAAGGCAGCAAACAACTCTATACTTGGACACAATATTCTCTTCCTCTCTATTTTTCCTAGAATTTGTCTGTCTGGGAAGAATATTCTCATTCTCGATGAATAAGATGCAGGTGCACCCATGTTTTTTTACAGCCAATTCACTAAGAATTCCTTTCCATTTCTGATGGAGCCTGAAAGCAAAAGGAAGGGGGCAAGGGGGAAGGGAGGAGGGACAATGCAAACCTCAAAGAAAAACAGAGGGATGGTTCTTGGAAACTCTTGAATGGCTCTTCTCTCTGCTACCTCCTGGCAGGAAACTGGCCTTTCTGAAGGCTCTTTATGACATCTTCCTGAGTGTTTTAAGTCCTAGGATCATGGCTTTATAGCTGACCTCTTAAGAATCATGGAATTCAAACTTTGGTTTACAGATGAAGAAACTGGGACTCAGAAGTGACTTGCTCAAAGTCACACAGGCAGAAATTAGCCACATAGATCATAGATCTAGTCCTAGAAGTGACCTAAAAGGCTCTTTTCCAATCTTCTCACTTTATAAGTGAGGAAACTGAGACCCTTAGAGGTTAAATGACTTGCCTAAGCTCACATGAGTAGAAAGCATGAGATCCTGGACCTGAACCCAGATCATCTGACTCTAACTTCAGTGTTCTTTCCACTGTGGGAGATCTTGGTGCTTTAGTGTATGAAGAAACCTCTAGTCCCCTGCGTGCCCACCCCTCCTGCAACCTCAGACTCACCGGAATGATGGAGCTGGGACTTAGGAAAGGCATCCTCACAGAAGTATCTGTTCTGGCTTGGAATCTCTGAAAGAGTAAAGAAATTGGGCAAATGTCTCATGCTTACAGTGGTGAGCTGAGACACAGGGTGTGTTCTATTTCCAGTATGGATATGTCTCTCTCCTAAAGGTCTCCTCTGCTGCCATGTTTCAGTGTGGTGATACCCGGGAGTTTTCAAAGGCTATGCCAGTTCAGCAAAAGGTCTAGGAGGGCCTGATATACTGAAAGGGCTTCAAGTCAGGGCCTAGAGATTGATTGGGTGTCTGTGATCTAAGGACCAGCTTGGCTAAGCTTGGGGAGTCTCTCCACCAGAGGGTTGACTGCAGCAATTTATGAAGCCCTCTGCTAGGTCATAGAGGGGCTGTGATCTATGTGAGTGGCCATGGAAGAGAAGGGAGTATCTACATTGATAAAACCATGGGTTCTCCATGACTGGTAAGTAAATGACTTACCAAGTCTTAGGGAAAAGTGTCTGAGTGGACACCATCTGAGATAGGGGAAAAGAGTGAACTAACTGGAATGACAGAAAGCAAGAATGGTAAAGAATGCTGGGCTGGGAGTCAGAGAGCCTGAGTTTAGTTCTGACTGCCCAGTACCACTACCTATATGACCTTAAGGCAAGTCACTTAAACTTTCTGGCCCAAGTTTCTACTCTGGTAAAATGACAGAGTTAGATGAGACGGTTTCTGAAGTCCCTTCTAGTTCTCAATCTCTGAAACTCTAAAATAAGAGATGATAGACAAAGTCTGGAATAAAAGCAGAAACCAGGGGAACCCTGTCCCCCTGAAGGCAGGCTCCAAGTCAGAAGCTTGAGCCTGCTTAATGGAAATAGTTTGTAGCTCCTTTCTCTTCACTATGTGTTGTGATGTAGCGTCAGCGATGCTCCCTTAAATGTGCCTCTCCTGAAGAGTAATTAGCTATGAAGAATGTTCAGAGTATTTGAGGGAACTGAACTCCTGAGGCACAAGAGAGCTCCTTCTTCCATACTCATAGATAGGTAGGGTACCTGAGCAACACAATCATGAGAATTTATTAAACCTCTGTCTAGGAAAGACTTTGGGTATCATCTAATTAAAAAAAATAATAATGATTGCTAACATTTGTATATCACTTAGAAGTTTGCAAAGCACATGAATATTGCGTCATTTGATTCTTACAACTCTGGAAAGTACAGCTATTATTATCATCCCAACTTTACAGAAGAGGAAACTGAGGCACAAAGAGATGAAATGACTTGCTCAGGGTCACATACCTAGCACATATCTGAGACCAGATTTGAACTCATGTCCTTCTGACTCCAGGTGCAACACTCTATGCACTGCACCACCTATCTGTCTCTTGTCCAATCCTAACCTTCATTACCCAAAGTTATACAGATAATCAGTGGTAGAGCTGGGATTTGCACCCAGTTATCTTGCCTGACTTGAAATCTTGGGTTCTTTCCATTACACTGCCCTGCCTCCATTCATGTGGGGTTCCCTTCAGGGTGACATAGTGGATGATAGGGGAGTGGACCTGGGCGTGAAGAAGATCTAGACACCTATCAGCTGTGTGACCCTACACAAGCCTCAGTTTCCTCATCTGTAAAATGGGGACAATAATAATGTCTACCTTACGGTGTTGCTGTGAGAATCAAATGAGATCATGAATGCACAGTGCTCTGTGAACCGAGAGTGAACTGTAAATGTAAACTATTGTTATGATATTGTTGTCATTATTGTAATTTGGAATGCAAAATAGAGCTGTGGGGCCTCTCCAATCTGGGGGATTCAGGGTAAGGATCCCTTATGCCCCCTAGTAGTTAGTGAGCTACAAGCTATAAGAGGAGCCCACAGCACATGGCAGCCTAACAGAGCTCCTAAATATGGTCTGCACTACCAGGTAGAACTCTAGGACACAGCCATGTATCTCTCCTTTCCTCTTCCAAAACATAAAAGGCCTCCTGGAGAGATGGGATGGAATTTTTAGAGATAAGAATCTATTAATTTTTCTGGTTGACTGGATAAAAGCAAAATTTGGCACCTGATGAAACCAGGAATGGGTTGTAAGAAAACCAAACTGCTAATTAGGAAACCTGAGCTCCCCATTCCTGGCCCTGACTTACTATGGGAATTTGGGTAACTTACTTTAATCTCTTGGGACTCTGTTTCTTCAACTGTAAGATGGGAGATGGGGTATAAAGGATAGACTAAATGAACATTAAGGTACCTTCCAGCTCTGCCATTCTGTGTACTATGATGCATACCAGCTTTGGTGTTTTTGTTCTATGTTCTAAGGTCCTACCCAGCTCTGCTATTCTATCTTCTCATTGAAGGGCACTTCCAGGTGTGACTTTCTATGTTCTATAGTGTACGCCAGCCTAGCTCTGATATTTTACGTTCTATGTTCTAAGGTGCTCTTCCATCCTAGGTCATGTTCTAAGATCTTTGCCACCTCTGCCATTCTGCTTTCTGATCAAAGACCTCTTCTAAGTCTGTCATTTTCTACTCTTTTCCAAGGTCCTTTCCTTTCTAGTTCTGCCATTCTAGAGTACTTACCACTGTCTGTGCCCCAGACACTCAGGAGCATGGTCTCCAGGTGTAGGGGCAGGGTGTATTCCATGCAGACACAATGGATGAAGGTCCGCCATGTTGAGGGGCCATGGGTTCTCAGTTTGCCAAGGAGCAGGGAGACTTTCTGGGTGGGATCTGGGGCCTCGTCCACAGGAGTCAAGTCTATGTCAGGCAGGAAGAACTTGGCCTTCAAGGTCAGCCATTCAAAGTCCTTACTGAACACCCCCACGAGGTAGTGTTGCAGGCTTTCCCCACCATCCTGCAAGCTTAAGGAGTCCATCTGGATCTAGCACTAAGAGGACCAAAGAGTGATGGGTTAGCTGATGGAGGTGACAATACAACCTGAGCATGGAGAAAATCCTTGGCTTGGCTATAACTCTTCTTATTTACCACTTAGAAGAAGCAGGGTGGTAAAGTATGCCAAGAAAACCCCAGATGGGACCACAAAGAGTCAGACATGACTGAAATCTATAGAAGTATGAGCTACAATGATGATGATGATGATGCCTTGCCCAAGCTGACAACAGAGAGCAACAGAAGAGCCGAGATTTGAACCCAGGTCCTTTGACCACAAGTCCAGTGCTCTTAGGTTCAGCAATCAATTATTGATCCACTAAGTGCCCCATGCCAAGCACTGGGGGATAGAGGATGGGGAGGGCGAGGGGGATACACAAGGAAGAATAAACAGCATCTCTTGCCCTAAAAGAATGCACAGTCTAGTTGGAATGATCAGACTGACACATGTAAACAAGAGAGTACAACATTAAATGCTCCAGGCAAGGGAGCTGATAATCTGTGTTACAGGAGTTCAGATCAGGTGGAAGTCACTGTTGCTAAGGACGATATGGAGGACTTCCTGGAGGAAGTGGCCAGGGAGGTCACTTCTCTTTCTTATGATCAACTCTATTTCTAAAGTCTCTTTGTGGCTGGCCTAAGAATGGACAAGGGGATGGGGTGGGGGTGGGGTGGAGTGGGGTGGGAGACTGATTTGAAAATATTCTACCTGGTTTGTAGGATGAGAAGACTCATCATCAATGTTCTAAATGGCAACATGGAAGTTCTCAGGGGCATACAAGCCTGGATTCTAGTTCCTGAGTGGGTACCAGGACATGATGTTCTGAGAATCACTCCACTGTAGAGTGTCTGAAGGAGAGAGAGAGAGAGAGAGGAAACAGATTGGCTCACCCCAGAAGCCAGTGAACTGTAACAATCCCCCTGCCCTCTTCCTCGGTCTGTTTCCCAACAAGCTCCTCCCCAACCAGTCAGGTGGAAGTCATAGGTTGGTGGTTCTGGAGGCAGAGAGAAGTAAGGAAGAAGGGCTTTCCCAGTGGGACTCCACTCTTTCCCCCACCACACTTAGCATTGTGTCTGACACACAGAATGTCCTTAATAAATGCTTGTTAACTTTTTGATTACATTTAAATTAACTCATTTCAGGACATAAAATACTATGTGTTTAAGTAAATTCTTTTCAGTTCCTTCCTCAAAATTCCTATCAGGAGTTTTCTTTGTCCATTCTAATTCATCTTTTTTCATACAATTATAGTTAATATAAACTCCATTCTCCTAGTTCTGCTTCCCCCTCCCTTTACATTGTTTCATAAAGGCCTTTCCCAATCTTTTCCTCATACTTGCACATTTTAAGTGAACCCTGATTCATTTAACCATCTCCCTTTTTGCTTCCAGTTTTTTGTTTTTTGTCTTGTGCAAATTACATATGGTGCTAGGGAAATCTTCAGATAGCTCTAATTTGTTGTTTGTTTTGGATATGAGTTTTTACATTTGTCTAAGGGGTCTCTAGCTATGGGAATAAAACAGGGAGGAACATTTACATCCTGAGGAAGAGAAAAGAGCCGGGCCCCACCCCAACCCCCTTATCATCTGGGGATAACCTGTAGTTCTCTGCTATGGGCCCAACATCTTCCACTCAAAGGCCACATTCCTGGGTCCTCAGCTAACTTAAGCAAAGTGCTTCCTTCATCTTGTTCATGGCAACTCAATACAAAAAAATCAACTTCTAGGTGGCACAGTGGACAGAGTCTAGCCTCGAGTCAGAAAGATCTGAGTTAAAATCTGGATTCAGACACTTACTAGTTCTGTGATCTTGGACAACTCATTTAACTGCTGTTTGCCTCAGCTTCCTCATCTGTAAAATGGGGATAATAGCACCTACCTTCCAGGACTGAAGTGAGGATCAAATGAGTTAATAATTGTAAAGTGCTTAGCACAGGGCCTGGCACATAGTAGGAGCTATATAAATGTTGGTTATTATTCTTATTCTTATTAATAATAATAATCTCTGTAGTACAAGGGTGGTTTCTAACTACTTTTCTACCTCCTCCCCCACCAGGACGTACACAGGAAAACAGATAAAGGGGTGTTAAATGAATCATAAAGCTCTTTCTACTGCTCTTAATTATTTTGCTAAGCGTGAAGTTTAACAAATTGAGCTGTAGGAAGCTGTGCCACAAGCAGCCCCTGAAAGACTGAGCTCACCAGCTCTGTAGTCAGAACATAAGATCCGGTGGCTGAAGAGGGACACACTCCCAAAGGGCTGGGGAAATGGGGGGAGGGGTGCAGAATACGACAAAATCATGTCAGCATTAGGATGGGATATATTGCTAAAATTCCCAAGACTACAGACCCACAGGCAGTCATTCTGTATTTTTTTTTCTCACCTTGCACTCCTTTACTGGAGCCTCTGATAATGATGAAGGTCTATTTACCTTTCTTAGTTTTAAATACATATTTTGTCTTAGTCAATAAGGTTGATCACAGGTATTTGCTAATTTGGACTTATAGAGAATAAAGTTGGGAGAAGGCAGTTGAGAGAAAGCATGCCAAGAAAAGAGAGATAATTAAAATTGAGATGTTTTGGCAGAGTACAGAGTGGTGTCTCTGGTGGAGGGCTCAGAGCTACAAATAAATAAATAAATAATATCGATTATTTTATTATGGCTTTTCAGAGCAGATAATGTTTACTTATCTAGGCAATGAGTCAATAGTAGGATGGAGATGAATGAAAGAGGCTGAACAACCCTTCTCCCTACCTGACCCCTGCTTTGGATGTAAAACAATTTGCAAACCTTGAAATGCTATATGAATGTCAACAATTATTTATCTTTGTTACCTCAACTAAGATTGCTCATCTTTTTTGGGGGGAGGGGCTAGGCAATGGGGTTAAGTGACTTGCCCAGGGTCATACAGCTAGTAAGTGTCAAGTATCTGAAGCTGGATTTGAACTCAGGTCCTCCTGACTTCAGGGCCAGGGCTCCATCCACCGCGCCACCTAGCTGCCCCCTCATCTTTTTTCTTTTAATATGTATGTATATAGTTTACTTAGATTTCAGTGAAGCATTTGGTGAAGCTCATGCTATTCTTACAGAGAAGATGTGGGCTAAATTTGAGTTCAGTTAGATAGATCTGGAATTGGTTGAGGGGCTGGAGTCAGAGTAGTCATTAATGAGCTTTTACTTTGAGACTTGGAAGGAGTTGCTAGTGAAGTGTCTCAGGGACAGGTTTGGCTCTTAAATCAATGACTCAGATAAAGGCAGGGGTGTCAGGCTCATGAAATCCAAGATATACTGAGCTGGAAGAAACTGTTAACACATTGTGTGATATCTTCAAGATCTAAAACCACCTGAGGAGGCTAGAACACTGGGCTGAATTGAGTAATAAGCAACCTCATAAAGAAAAATGTGGTCTTATGCTTAGATTCATGGGATCGCCTCCACTAGAACAAGGCTGGGGAAGGCAGGCCAACAGAAGCTTCTCATGGGAACTGAGTGGTCTGCACTGGGAATAAGAGGCAGCATCTGTAGACCATCTATACTACAGTGACCTAGGACTGAATTAAAGAGGCTGAGCTTCCAGGAATGATCATGACCACAAGCATTTCTACAGCACTATAAGGTTTACAAAGCCCTTTACAAATCTTAGCTTATTTGATCATCCCAACAAGGCTATGAGGGAGGTGCTATTCTTATTCCCATTTTACAGATGAGTTCAATGAGGCAGACAGAGGTTGAATGACTTTCCCAGGGTCACACAGCTTGTGAGTGTCAGAGGCTGGATCTGAATCCAGGTCTTCCTGATTCTAGGCCCAGGATTCTGTCTACTGTCTAGCTGACCCTAACAGTCATGGCTCTGTGTCAAGCCACATCAATTCTGGGCACCACATCTCAGGAAGGATAAGCTGGAAAGGCTTCAGAGGAAGGCAATCTGCATGGTGAAGAGTCTGGGGCTCATCTGAGTGACGTTTGGTTGAAGGCCCTGGGAATACTTAGCCTGGAGAAGAAGAGACTGGGGGTGCAGCAGCTGCCTTCAAGTATGGGAAGGGCTGTCCTGTGGAGGAGGAACCAGATTCCTGCTGGTCCACAGTGAGCTGAGCAAGACCAGAGGGGACAAAGGGGGATGTGTCCTGCCTGGGTGTCAGGAGAGAGATCCTTGCAATTAGAGTTGTCCAAAAGTAGAATGCGCTGCCTTGGAGGTAGTGGGTTCCCCATCACTGGAGGTATTCAAGCAAAGTTGGGACCCTGGGTCTTGGTGAGCCTGCAATGTCAGAGTTTCTGGTCTCTTGCTCCATTCGCTGGGGCTTTGAAGTTTAGAGGAGGAGGACAGAGCTTGTGTCCTTCTAGCTGAGAAAGAGTAGAGTTTGCACTCAAGCTCAGAAAACTATTTTCTGCTTCGTGTCTTTGAATATTTGTCATATTGGGCAGACAGGAGCCAAGATTGTTCATCCTAATACACTAACTAACAACTGGGCTTCTGAAGAACAGCTTCTCAGAGGATGCCAAAGGAATTTGGAAAGGAGGGAGAGGAGGGAGAGAAATGAAGGACATTGCCTTGGATTGGCACTAGGTATGGGGCAAAGCTCTTACTCTCCCTAAATTTTTTTGTGACCGTAGAGAGTTTGTTGACTGTTGGGTTAAGTGGTGGGGAAGAAATTCCCGAATCATGCTGTGAAAAGAGCATTGGAGATCTGGGTCCTAGTCCAGGCTCTGCCAATAACTTACTGGGGATCTCTGAAGGTTATTGTCCTTCTCTGGGCTAATACTACCCACTCTGCCACCTCTGAGCCAGCTCTAATGATCAAATGAGATATTAGATGTAAAAGCTCTTTAAAGAATACAAGGCTCTGAGAGTTGTGGTATAATGGATAAGGATAGTTCTTCAGTGTCTGTAAGGTCCTACCTCTGACATATACTAGTTGTGCAACCCTGGCCAATCACTTAACCATACCATGTCCCAAACTCCCTAACAGGAACAGCTGCTGATCTGCATTTGTAAGGAAAATTTCCTCACTGGGAGTTCCCTGGAACAATGAAGTCACAAGTTAGATTGTCCCCCCCCCCACAAAAAAAAAAAAACTACAAGGCTTTGTGCACTCATATGTTGACCTTGAAGGTTGGAGTGGAAGGGAAATTCTCATGTCATCTCCATGATTTTGTGAAAAAAGAACCAAATTGAGAATGGAGAAATGAGGGCCAGTTTTGTTACATATGAGGTGAGCACAGATGAGTGCTACTGTTTGTATGAGGGGTCTCAGTACCTGCTGGGTTATCCCCTAGTCCTCCCTCCAAAGTCATGGGTTATATGACCTTAAGTAAGAATGGAGAATTAGGAGGAAGAAGCACCAAGGTGTCAAGAGAAAGCAGTGGGTGAGTCATCTGGTGCCTCTCCCCTCCAACAGCTGCCAAGGCTGATGAAAAAATGTATACGTGTTGAAAGAATGGAGTAATGAGGGGCTAAGAAGTCTCGGGACCACTGGATCAAAGACTCAGAGCTAGAAGGGAACTTAGAAGCTTTCCAGTCCAACACCCTCATTCCACAGATAAGGAAACTGAGGATCACAAAGGCAGAGAGGTACTAAATGGAGGGCTAGGACAGGAACCCAAGTCCTCAGCTTCCCCAACACTCTTTCTACAGTACCACAACACGGCAGACTCTCAGGTGGACAGACTAAGACAGCAGTAAGAAATAAGATACAGAAGGGAAGTATCCTACCACCTCAGCCGGGCAATTGGAAGCACCCCCTCATGATTGATCAGAACTCAATAAAAGTCCCATCAGACTGCTTCCTGATCCCCAAATTCTTATCCGGAAAGAATCCTTTAGAAGACTATTAGTTGACACATATAGAA